GCTATGTATGGATGGATGTGAGAGTTGGACTATAAAGAAAGCTGAGTGCCAAAGAATTGATGCTTTTGAACTGTGCTGTTGGAGAAGACTCTTGAGAGTCCCTTGGACTGCAAGGAGATCCAACCAGTCAATTCTAAAGGAAATCAGTCCTGAATATTCATTGGAAAGACTGATGCGGAAGCTGAAACTCTAATACTTTAGCTACCTGATGCAAAGAACTGACTCATTTGAAAAGACCCTGATGCTGGGAAAGACTGGAGGTGGGAGGAGAAGGGGACATCAGAGGATGAGATGGTTGGATGGCATCACCGACTTGATGGACATAAGTTTGAGCAAGCTCCGGGAGTTGGTGATGGAGAGGGAAGCCTGGTGTGCTACAGTCCATGGGGTCGCAAATAGACACTTCTGAGTGATTGAACTGAACTGTGAAAATGGTAACCAGTGAAAAGTACAGAGTGCTAGGGTTACCTGTAATGAGGGATGTAGCATGGGAGACAGGGAAAAATTGTTTTGAGGAAGTAATATTTGAGCAGATTGCTAAGGATGAGAAGGAAGGAGTTAACCAGGTAAAGGTACAAAGGCCATTGTGAGGAGAGTCCACAGTAAGACAGGGGCAGGGGCCCAAAGGGAGCTGGTAAAAGGCAGGGCGGTCCTTGAGGCCACATCAGGATTGTAGTCTGTATTTTAAGAAAAATGAGAAGCCACTAAGCAGTTTAAGCACAATCAGATCTATAGTTTTAAATAACTGTCTTTAATTGTATCAGGCCCTCCTCTTCCCATATTCTGTCCACAAGCATAGATAATTCATAAGCCCCATCAAAAGCTATGATACATGTACATTTGAATAAAAGATGAATGCTTCAAGGTGAAGTATATACTTCTACAAGTCCTGCTCTCTATAGTTTTCAAAAGGATCATGCCTATGGAAACCTCTTGAATTGAGGGACAGTTGTTCTAACTTATCTACTACCGTGGTCCCCATAAGAAGCATTCTAGGACTCCCCCATCTGTGTCCACTCAGCCTCTGCTTCATTATGTCTCTGGGCACCTCTTAACTCTGTCACTGAATAGCTCTTTTCATTTGTTTGCTTCTTCCAGATTGTACCCCAGTTAGTCTCTGTTTAACCTCTTGTATAGTGTTCTGAAGAGTCTTTCTAATACTCTTCTACAGGACAGCTAATTTGAGAAATGATCCCATATCCCCCCCTTCAAATTTAGTTTTATTCACAAACAGCCCCATTTCCTTCAATAGCTCCTCACATTGTTGTGTTGTTAATAGAAAAAAGAGAAACAGGAAGGGTGATTTGATTTGGTGGTGAATAAGATGAGTTCACAATTGGGTCACTTGGAGGATGAGTTGACTTCCAAATGGAAATATACCAAAAGCAGGAGCCAGTGCAGGAGTGGAGCTCAACTCATGGCTGAAGATAGACACTGGGAGCAGCCCTCAAAAGAGCTTGGTTGTCTGCAGCACTAATGTAAAGACGGGGCAAGAGTCACCATACAAGAAAAATTGAGCTAGAGAAAAAGATGGGAAATAACAATTAACAAGGGCTTCCCTCGTGGCTCAGCAGTAAAGAATCCACCTCCAATGCAGGAGACAAGGGAAACATGGATTTGATCCTTGGACTGGGAAGATCTCCTGTAGGAGGGAATGGCAACCCACTCCAGTATTCTTGCTTGGAGAATCCCCATGGACAGAGGAGGCTGGCAGGCCACAGTTCATTGGGTCACCAAGAGTCAGACACGACTGAAGTGACTGAGCATGCCTGCAAGCACCTATCATGGGCCAGGCACTGGTTGCTGGACAAATATTACCACACTGCAATTTTCTAATCCTGGGTGTCATTCTTCCTGCTTTGCAGACTAGCGGAACAAGACTTAGCTGGGTCACTTGCCTTAGAGCAAGAGAAGCCCTGAGGCTATGAGCACCTATAACAGTGGAGTTGGAGGCCAGGCAGGAGTAGGGTGGGGAAGGAGAGACAGAAAAGGCTTCTGGCAGATGGATGGAGCAGTGGTTATTTAACCTACGTTTATCTGATTCCAAAATCCATGCTTTCTCCATCTTCGCAAATAGGAGAATCCATTTAGAAAACAGCTACAGAGAAGCCCAGGAGATGGGAATGAGAAGAGGTGAAAAATTAGACAAAATAGAAGCTGCTTGTGACTCTTAGGAGTGGGCTTTCGTCAGAAGGTGTGATTGGAAGTAAGACTGCAAGGAGGGAAAGAAGTGTATGGGGAGAAACAGGAGACTGTGTGGTGGTGGGGTTTTATTTTTCTGTTCAATTGCAGGGTTTTTTTTTTAGAAGGGTAAGATGGGTATGAGGAGCTAATGGTATCCAAAAACAGTTATTTTTCTGAACCTAAGATCAGAATGAAATAATGATAAGTTCTTGGCAGAGAGTGGACAGGGAGGGCTTACTTGGCAGGGTACTCACTCATGTGAGCAGTAGAGTTTGAAACTGATATTTGAGGGAGAGGCATAAAAAACCCTGAGTGGGACAAGGAAATGGAAGTGGTGCCCAGTGACCAACAGAAGCCTCTACAGAGAAAAGAGTAAGGTTAAATCCTATGCATACACCAGTGCAGAGTGTGGCTAAAATCCAAGTAATTATATTTGATAAATGTAATATCTGTCATCTACTGAATGCTTCCTAAGTGCTAGCTTACATGCATCACCTTTCCCCACGACACTCCAAATGAAATGAAACTGGTATTCAGAGAAATTAAGTAATTTACCCAGTTCATACAGCTAGAAAGCTGTGGTCAAAACCTGTTTGTCCATTCCCTGAACCACTCAGCTGTACTGAGTCTCCAGGCTAACAAAGATGACTTTATGGAACATATTTGGAAGAAAACATATGGGTGTGTACTCCTTTCAGAAGAACAGTAATTGATAAGAGTAGAAAATGAACTCAGATGTCAGGGAAGAGGTATGGGAATTCACAGCCTGGGGGACAGAAATTGGGCAGTGAGTCACAGAGGGGACATGGAGGGGAGCGGCTGCTTGGCCAATGTAAGCCACAGATAGGGAAGATATGACTTTCCTAGTACAGATGTCAAAGCTGGTCCACCAAAGGCAAGACACGAGTGGGTTCTTCTAGCATCTCTTGAATGATAAAAATCTCATTTAATGAGACAGGCCCTTAGGGCCAGTGCACTGGGATGACCCTGAGGGATGGGATGGGGAGGGAGGTGGGAGGAGGGCTCAGGATGGGGAACACATGTACACCCATGGCCGATTCATGTCAGTGTATGGCAAAAACCACTATAATACTGTTAAGTAATAGCCTCCAATTAAAATAAATTAATTTTAAAAATCTCATTTAATGAAAAGCAGAGCTTCAGATTATGTCTTACAATTGCCCAGGAGACAATATAATCTCCCAGAGAATATGTATAATTCAACAAAAGAAACTCCCATCTTGGGTTGAATGCAGCCAGTTGAAAAAGAACTAGTTGTGAAGTAGAAAGGAAATGAACTTTGGTAAAATTGATTGCTTCGTATGAGCTAGGCATATCAGAACCTTGGGCATTAAGAAGGGAATGAGGGAAAATTTAGACCAAAGACATAAGCAAAGACGGCTTGAGAACACTAGAAAGTTCACAAAAGCAAAATTGTGAAGATACAGCTGTAGTCAGTTCAGTTCAGTCGCTCAGTTGTGTCTGACTCTTTGTGATCCCATGAATCACAGCACACCAGGCCTCCCTGTCCATCACCAACTCCCGGAGTTTATGCAAACCCATGTCCATTGAGTCGGTGATGCCATCCAGCCATCTCATCTTCTGTCGTCCCCTTCTCCTCCTGCCCCCAATCCCTCCCAGCAGTAGGCATGAATAAATAGCATAAATAAGAGAAAATAGACATGTTGGCCTATAAATATTTTGTCACTCAGAAACACTTGTCAGATGGTTCTGTTATTGCATGTCAGAGATGGATTTTCAAGAGACAAGCACCATGAAGGAGCTCCATGATACAGAGATTATGACATAGCCCCTGTCTTTGAGTTGTATATGAAGTTGTCTAGCCCAGTTCTTAAAAGAGAGTAGGAACTCAAAAGTGTCCTCAGAGTCAGACTAGCTTGGGGCCAATAGAATTTTATTATGTTAAATGTGATTTAAAAAACACAATTATTACTGTAGCCAGTATTTATTGAATGGGACTCATATGGTAATCATTGTCTGAAGTATTTTCCATACATTTAATAACAACCCCATGAAGTAGGTATCATCAGTATCCATATTTATCTTTATGTGAGGATAAAGAGTTAAGTGATTGGTTCTGTAGAAGGCGGTGTCCATAGTCATTAGTCTATAGTGAAGGTGTTACTTTCACCAGTGGCTGATTCTCTTTGTATGATGTTCATGAATTGGGGAAGTCCTGCTGGAAGGAATTTCCTTATAATATAAGGTAAGTCATTTCTGTGTGTGTTACTGCATCATGTGAATCCTTCTTTACTCATGGGAAGACACATATCCTGTTAGAAGAGAAATCCTACTTCCTAGGTTTGTTTTCATTCTCAAGTCAGTTGACTTTGATGCTGAGCTTTTATGCTGTAATTGCTACTGAAGATCTGCACGGTATGGTTGTGGTGTGACGGAGGTGCCCAGACCTGTGGCAGGAAGATGCAGTGTCCAAGCCCTCTTCTGTTCTAGGGCTTGGGCAGGTCACCTGCCACTGTGGAGTCAGCCAGCAGCCAGTTTAAGATCAGGACTTTGGTTCAAACCCAGCTCTGTCTCTCACATGACGAGCGACTGTACAAGCTAGTGTCAGTGCCCTAATCCTGCTGTTACGGATTGAACTGTGCCCCTACCTCAGATCTATACACCAAAGTATGGAAATTTTAACCCCGGGTGTAACTGCATTTGGAGATAGGGCCTTTAAGGAGGTAATTCAGGTTAAATGAGGTCATAAAGGTGGGCCCTAATCCAATAGGACTGATGACCTTCTAGGAAGAGGAAGTGATATCAGCAATCTCTGTCTCTTTCTCTCTGCACAGGGAAGAGGCCATGTGAGGACAGAGTGGGAAGGTCACCATATACAGGCCTGGGTGAGAGGCTTCGACAGAAATCTCCCCAGATGGCACCATGGTCTTGGACTTCTACCTTCCTTAAGGAAATAAATCTGTTGTTTGAGCCACCCAATCTGTGGTATTTTGTTACAGCAGCCCTAGCTGACTAATAGACTGCGAGACCTGCCTTCCTGTGAGGTAGGGATTACCCAGTCATAGCCCTGTCCCACTGCTTGTTCCAAGAGAAGCTATGAACAAAGCTGAGCATGTTGCCTGGCTCATGAAAACACGTTGATGATTTCAGTTGTTACTGTTACTAGTGTACAGTGTGAAGTGTGGCTTCCTTCCCTGGGCATGACAGTCTCACTCCTCACATGGTAGGTATGAGGGTGAAATGAGACCTGTGCTTCTTAAAACCTGCCTGACAACAGAAGAGAGTGCTCACACCCTCCTGGGGATATGGGCACAACAAATTTCCACCAGAATGATTTGTAAAGACTCAATTTTATCTTAAAAACCTACACAAATTTTGTATTCTAGTTCATATGCAGCTGTGTTTGCTTTAATTCCTACAGTTTTTGCAGTCATTTCTCAGTTTGGGGTGCACTATTAAGTTTGTTTCATGTTGTTAATGAACTACTTGAGCCACTGTTAGTGAGCACCTACTGTGTGCCAGGCACTGCTGTCAGTGGGGTGGCTGCCCAGATCCACCCCCAGCCTTCCTGAAGCTTGCATTCTGATAGGCTAGGTAGACACAAAACACGTAGTTGGATAACTGCCGCATCGTGACGAGAGCTATGAAGGAAAAAGAAAGTGGGCTAGGAAAGTCTGCAGCAGGGGAGAGGGTCAGAGTCCTAGAGCATTCTGAGTACTAACAGGTTGCTGGGGAAGTCTGGCTTCCCAGGAAGAGTGGTCTGGAAGCAGCCTTCTTTAGTGAGGTATCAGTTATTAAGCATTTTAAGCTGGGTGAATTATCGTCACTCATGGTCTGTCAAAGGAGGGCATAGTCTGCTTTCTAAAACTCTGGGTAGGCTAGGTATGGATTTTTGTACTGGGGATTGTGTGCTGGGGACAGGTCGGTATTTGGCACCATGTGGGGTGTGATGGGGTGGAGGGCAGTGCTGTTTGCTTTAAACGTATAGTGTGGGAGATGGGGATGGGGGACTGACTGAGGGACATTAGAGGCACCTCTGCTCTCTTTTTTCTCCCTGACGAGTGTGTATGCTCTGTGCACACTTGTCCAGGAGTCAGTTAACAGGTAAGAACTGCTTTACAGATCACAGCATTGGTTCCCAAAGAGCCAAACCAGAAGCCCCCTCCATTTTCTACCTGACCTTCCAACTCCCATAGGAAAGGGTTGATGCAGCACTTTGTGCTAGAGATGGTGTGGGTGGGGAAGCTGTCCCCAGCACCTTGAATTAGAAGTCTGGGGTCCCCTGCAGCCCTCTGATCTCTGACTGTACCCGTAAGAGGAGTGCAGGGGGGTTACCATGACACCTGCTCTTGGCCCCATCCCTGCCCCCAGTGCCCTTCCTCATTGCTTCCACACCCCTGGCCACTCCTTTTTTCCCGTTGGAGGTCTCAGTGCAGCAAACAGGCAGAGGGGGGAAGCGTGTAAGATTATGTAGGGAAGGGGAGGAATTTTCCATTAATAATAACAACAACAAGAATAATAATACTTGTCATGTTGGCAGCACTTGTCAGTTTACCAAGTGCATTCAGACCTGTGCTCTCCTCGGTTTCCAGAGGTGGGGCATTGTGACACTGGTGTCCTGGTTCCCAGCCTTTGTCACTGCTCCCATGTTCAAGCAAGCCACTGTTTACTTTTTTTTTTTTTTTTACAGCTAAGAGCCCATTGAGGTGTCCAGGCCTTTATTTAAGCATGGCTCCCCATGAATCCCGCCCCCCCCACCAAATGCTCTCTCTATGCTCCTGTTCGTTGCAGTTTCAACAAGCACCCCCACCACGTCTGTAAAACTTTCTTACATACTCTTCAACTCTTCAAACTGTCCCAATAAGAAGGGGTCTCAGAGACAATCCAGTTCAACCTTGTCACTAGCCCAGAGAGAAAGAGGGTGGGCTAAGGTCACACAGCTTGTCAGGCTCAAAGCCAGGGCTCGGACACCCATGCAGGCGCCCACAGGCACTCCTGCAGCTCCTCCTCCTGACACCCTGGGTAGCTGCACACACTTCTGTCTCCTGGGGCTTCTCAGTGTGTGAACAGTAGGGGCTTAACACGCCCTGTTGTTTTCAAGAGTGTGACTTGTTAATTTTATTCTACCCTTGGTGGAGGGGGTTGGGATGGGGTGAGAGGGGCTTGCCTTCCGCAGGAATCCTGTGGGGGATTCGTTCATGAAGTTAAGGCTCCGAGTGTATGAAAACTCTGGTTTCACACACTGGAGGCAACTTAAGTCCGGGACATGAATCCCCCTAGCAGACCCCTAGCAGCCCAGGCACAGGAGGCACCTGTCCACACAGCGCCGGGTCTTCGGCCCGCGCTTCTCCCTTTCTCTGTGCCCCCACGCTCCTCGGCCCGGCCCAACCCGCTAGTCTCTGCCTCCTCCTTTCTGGCTTTTAGATCGCGCGGTTCTCCCCTTACCACCCTGCAAAGCAACAAGTGTGGGCGCCGCGTTTCTTCTTACCCCGGCCTCGGTCCATGGCGCCGGCGATAGCGGAGCAGGGAGCAGTGCCTCCGGCGGGGCTGGCAGCGTCGGGCGCGGCGCTCTCCAGTCGGCCCCGGCCCCGCGGGAGCGCCCTCCGCGCATCCCCTCCCCCGACAGGATGCTCGCCCGGCGCCCCCGCCCGCCCGCGCCCGCCCCTGCGCTCGGCTCCCGGAATAGACCCGGAGCCCGCCTGGCCCCCTGGGCCGCGGGTGTCCCTCATCCCCACACACCCTTGCCACGCCCTGCCTTTCACAAGTCCTCGCGCCCCTCTCTGGAGGGGCTACTAGAGGACCCACATGCCAGTTCACACTTCCTTTAATGCCCGTGCCTGCGTGCCTCCCACCCCTGCCCAGACCAAGGCACTGTTGAGCTCTGCTTGCATTCCGCTAGTGACGACAAGCTTTATATCGCAGTTCCAGCCGTGTCCATTTTCAGATTGTCCAAACTGTTAGAATCTGTTTTTCAACATTAGAGTCAAAAATCTCTTTGCCTGCTGCTGCCACCCTGTCTTTGGGTTTATCTTCTTCATTAAACATGTCTTTCCTGAGCACCTTCTAGAGCCAGACAGTGGACCAGACGCTATGCCAATAATGGTGTAAAAGAGGAGTGAAATAATAAAGATCTTTTAAAAATCACCTAGGGAAAGGAGAGAAAGGATTGCTAAAATGTGGGCAGTGGCTTGGGACACATAAAACTTTTGAGGTTCCCAGTGTACTGAATCGTGAAGAATGACAACACGGAGAGATAAAAATTGTGGAAATGAACACTTTTTTAGCATACAAGTGCAATGCGATGTTAAGTGTGCTCTTCCTTAAATAATTAATGGGATGTAGAAAAATATTGCTATGACCAGTGTGGTCAAGAATGGGATTTAGGTTTAAAGCTGTGTGAAGAATATCAGCATTTTTCATCCTGTTAGTTTGTCTCTGTGAAAGTAGGCCCAAACCAATTATAGACATATGAAATGTCTAAGACCCTTTATAAAGTGAAGTCGAGGCTTAATTCTTCTTCTAAACACTTCTCCCCAAAATAGGCGAGATCACAGTTTGAAGTTTTGGCTAGGCCACTCCTTTACATAGAACATTCTAGCATTGGGACCATCTTGTGCAAAGGCTCAAGGAAGGACCTGGGAAAGAGCATTCTGCATTTTCCTGGACTGAGAATGTTTCCTCCATTGCTTTGATAGGCAAGTTGAAATTAGTTAGCCCTTGCTTCACCAAATTGCATCAGTAGTTTGTTTAATATATCTGTGTATGAGCCCAGAGGAAATATGGTGTAGTGAAAAAACAATGGAGTTGAAGCCTGAAAACTTGTGTTTGAGCTCTTGCTCTTCTGCTTACGAAGTGTATACCTTTAAGCCTGTGAGTCTTGCTTGCTCATCTGTGCTATGGGAAAACTCATACTGACCTCGCAAGGTTTTTGGGAGGGCAAATGACATGATGGTACAAACCTACTTTGTAAACCATAAATAGCTATAAAAATGTGAGCCGTTATTATTTTCCAAGTTCCTCTTTGTTCCTGCCCACTTTTCCAGTTTGAAAAGGTCAGTTTAAATTCTAAAGCAGACAACCAACAATTTATAAGTGAATTAACTTCTAAAAGTTCACTGTTTTAATTCTGAAACACTTGAAAACAAGGCTATAAATTGTAGTTAAGTTCCCAGTCTAGCTCATTTACTACTTTAAAAAACATAATATTTCATTTGAAGTAAATTTTAAAAATGTGGAAAATGCAGCTATTGCAGGAACAGATGGAGGGCTTAGAACTTTTAGAAGCTTTAAGAAACTTTCAGACTCTGGAAGTTTATCAGAGAATTGGAACCGAAAAAAGCTAAAGGGAATTTATATGCACCTATGAAATGGTATATGGAATGAGATTAACTGATCTAGGAAAGATGTAAAATGGGAAATGTGGGCTAGGAAAGATGTAAAAAATGGGGTCTAGGAAAGATGTAAAAATAGGAAAACACAGTCTGTGCCGTTTTCCTAAGGATTAACAGTAAAGAAGCAGCTGTGAAGATGTAGTGGTTCTCGTTTAATAATCACCCACAGTGCCCACTAGGTGGCACTGTTGACTAAATTGACTACAGCTTGGTTGCTGCTGGGGAACTGAAGGAAGTGGATGAGAAGGCTGTTTGTGGCTTTGGAACAAGGAATAACTACATATTTTTTCCTTTCATTTTTTCCTTTCCTTTACATAGGCCCATGTTGCTGCTAAGTCGCTTCAGTCGTGTCCGTAGACACCATTAAAAACTACCCCTACTTTTAATTAGTCTACTTAGAAATATTTGTTGCATTCTGTGCCAATTTCTATTGGGAGAACTAATGCTAAGTAGAAAGGATCTTCATCCTTTATGAGTTTCCAGTCTAGTAGAGGAGGTAAATATGCATAAAGTAATTTAATTAAAATTATTATGTGAAAAGTACCAGAGGAAATATAAAATGCTCTTGGAATTCAGTAAGATGAAGCAGGAATTTCTTACTGATCATGGAGACAATAGTGGATGACTGACACTTGGGTGAGCCTGCAATGAGGAGATAACATTACAGGCAGAGAAAACAGTGAGAGCAAAGACATAGAGATAGAAAACTGCAGGATGTGTCTGCAAAGCAGTTTGGCTTGGCCAGATCATAGGGTATCGGGTGGGCGGTGCTGGAATGGGGATGGAGGTTGTGGGTGCCTTTGCCTGGTTTTCTCCTCCCCTTTCCCCTTCCCTGTGTGAATGCAATTCTCTGGAAAGGATTTTTAGGATCTGCCTCGTATCTTCCCTTTTCTTATTGCTGTCGTAAGTTTTCCAGGTTTGCCTGGTGCTTGTCTAAAGAAGTCTGTGTGAAGAGTTCTAGCTCTGTAAAAAGATAGCAAATTTGGTCCCACTGAACAATTCCAGGAAGAAAGCTTTCAGCTCTCACATGCTCCTAGTCTTGTGAAAACAACTGATACTCCCCATTCTCATTCTTAGCTTATCAGGTGGAACTGGGAAGCCCAAGGAAAGAAAAATTTAGAGGCTAAATGTTCTTTGTCCCAGTGAGAGAAACATACTTTAGCCTTTTAATCTGTCACTTTGCCTCTAGGTCTGCTTCCATCATGGATACCACAGTGACCATTCCATGGTTCTAGTCAGATCCCCCTTAAAAGTATTTGATGGCTCTCCTTTGCTGTCAGTGCAGAGTTCAGATTCCGTATTGTAGTATCTGGGGTACGTTCCTGTCTAAGCTCCAGCCCACCATTCCACAGAGTAGTGATCTCAGGAGACCCTGGGAAAAGTAAGAAAAACCACCAATTGGGGTTCAGATCTGGGTTCTTGAACTGACTCTGTTACTATGTTACTGTCAGTTCTTCCACTGGGTCATCAGTGTTTAAATTCCTGCTTCTCCCTTTACCTCTTCTTGGCCCCCTAGACTGCAAGCACTGTGCGAGTGGGTGTTATGTCTTACTTGTTGCTAGATCCCTACAGCCTAGCACAGTGTCTGGAACCTAGTAAGTGGCAGCAAGTATTGTTGGGTGAGTCAGTGAATAAATGCTCTAGGACTCACGAGGTTTCTATTAATGCAGGTGTCTTGGGGGGTGATCCCCTTTATCTTCTGAGATTGTTTATTTGCTTATTTATTCGTAGAGGAAAATGAGACAGCAGTGACATGTTCTGGGAGCAATGCCTCTCTGCTTCCCTTCCCACTGCCTGCCACTGTGGACATGCAGCCCAATCCATGGGGCTTCTCACTGGCTCAGGGCCCCACTCCCATCTCCTTTGTGCAGGGTGAGCCCCACAGCCCCTTGCTTGAGTGTCTGCCCAGTGCTGGTCGCTGGATGAAAACCTCTCTTGTTCCACTCAGCACAATGTCACCATTATAGCCCCTATCCAGGGAAATGACACATGGCTGTTGGTCCACCCTAGGCCCCAGAAAGCAGATAGAGATCTGAGTGGTGGCTACTGGGGAAGGAGAGTTTCATGGCTGGATGAAAACCACTCCTTTTGTTGCACTTCCTGGTTTTTGTTCCAAGGCACCAGGCTCCTACCTGCACCCAGGCCACGGGTTCGGTGTCAGCTGTCACAGAGCCCAGAGCACTGTTGTGTCTGCAGGAAAAGGAGCGTTTGTTCTTGTGCCCCAGTGCTGCACATCCCCACCCCTTGGATCCTTCAGGAAAAGAGCACCCTTGGCTCGTTAAGTGAGGCTCACAGGCTGAAGTACCCTTAGGACCAGTCAGGGGACCTGTGTGTGTGAGCTGACCACCTGGAAAGTTAGAGCACTCTTGTTCCATCTGAATGCCAGGAGCCAGCAACTCACTGCAGTGTGACCAGGGGAACATGGGCCTGGAATGGCCAGATCTTCAGACTTTTTAGGAAAACCCAGGAATCCAGATTTCAGCTTTTGATTTTAAAATGTTGGTAACTAAGTCCAACTGTTTTAAAACATTGCAGGGGCCAACTAAAATACCCCTGTGGGCTTAAAACTGGCATACAGGAACCCTGAGAAAAACTGTGGGCCCATGAAGACCTCTAGAGAATCTGTCCAGCTGGGTGCCTCTACCTGGGGGCCAAGGTGATGCCCATCTTTTAAAGCTGCTGCAGGGACTAACTCTCTTTTGAAAGGGTGCACTGCCTGCCCCCTCTTCATCTCTAGTATGCAGGCTGATGCCAGGGTGCAGAGTGCAAAGTGAATTTCTTAACCTTGGAACTAGAAGAACTTTAGAACTGAGAGGAGCCCAAGACTTTAGCCAGGCTGGTCCCTTTCTTTGTCCGATGAGGACTGAAGCCAAAAGAGGGGAAGAAAGCTTGCCTGGAATCACAAAAGATCTTAGAGGCAGAATTGGGGAGTGGTGCCGAGGGCTCTAGACTTCTGTGACATACAGCTGTGAAACCTTGAATGAATTATGTATCAAGGGCTCAATTTCCTCATCTGTAAAATGACGATCAAAGTAGTACCCAGAGGATTAAGTGAAATCTGTAAAGTGCTTAGTGTAAAAGTGCAAGTTATTGTAATCAATGTGCATTTCCTCTGAGACATTGTCAGATGCTTATGGAAATATTGAGGAACACCGAACTCTCAGCCGCACATCCAGGCTGCCCACTGCAGGGAGTTTTGTGTAAACCAGGCTATTGGAAATGTGGTAAATTCTGCCAGCTTCCTCCTTCCCTGTGAAAACGCCTGATACCCTCAGATATGAGGACTATGGAGCTTTCAGCTCCTGTTACCCACAGAGTCTAAGAAGGGGTAGTAATTTGTAGTTATGTTTTTAAAAATTAAATAGTGCTGTTACTTTGTCAGAAGGAAAACTGCTTTCTCCTGATCCAAGTAGGCAAGACCTGTGTCTTGGGCGCATTTCTTTTGTATGACAATAAAGTCTTTATCCACAGGAGGGCTTTGTGAGCAAGAAGGCCTTTGGTCTAGGCCCTTCAAGCACTTCTCATGACTGAGGCACATTTTGACATCTCACAAATACTTCCCTAGTGAGTCACGTGGCCCATCTCTTGTTCCTGCAGGAGACGATAGATGCACTACTGAAATGGGGATCATGTGATTTCCCTCACACAGCAAAGCTGATATTATTAATTCACTCTGGGACCCAGTGTGTTTGTCACAACTCCTTTGATGGCAAGTGATATAATAACAACTCAAACCAGCTAAAACCAGGAAAGGAATTAATAAATTATTAACTCAGAAGGTAACTGGGGATTTGAAAGGTGAAGTTGGATTTAAGATAAGCTCAGATGGGATGGGGAGGGAGGTGGGAGGGGGGATCAGAATGCAGAACACTTGTAAATCCATGGCTGATTCATGTCAATGTATGGCAAAAACCACTACAATACTGTAAAGTAATTAGCCTCCAACTAATAAAAATAAATGGAAAAAAAAAAAAAACCCAAAACCATAAAAAAAAAGAGAGATAAGCTCAGATTCAGGAGCACAAAGAGGTTGCTACTTTCTTTCCTCTCCTGACTCCACCCTCCTCTGTTCAGTTTCCATCTTCAGGTGGTCAAAGAAGGCCCCAAGGCTCCAGGGCTGCACACCTTTACTGCTGGTGGGAATTCAGGTAAGGGTAAAGGGCCTGATCTAAGAATGAGGGAGGTGCTGAGAACCCCCCCCCCCCNCAGGTACTGTGCCTGAAGCACATCATTCAGTCCTTACCATCTAATGAAATAAGTGCTGTTACTCCTGTTTTGAAAGTCTCATTTCATGTGGTGAATTAGTTTGCTATTGTTGTCGTAACAAAATACCACAGACTGGGTGGCTTAAACAATGGAAATTTATTTTCTTCTGGTTCTGGAGGCTGGAAGTCCCCAAGCTAGGTGTCAGCAGTTAACTCTCCTCTGAGGCTTCTCTCCTTGGCTTGCAGGTGGTGACGCTCCTGCTGCCTCATCACATGGTCTTTCCTCTGTGCACCTACATTCCTGGCATCTCTCCCTATGTCCTAATCTCCTCTTCTTACAAGGACACCAGTCAGATTGGAAATAGGGCCCATCCTCCTGGCCTCATTTTGACTTATCATCTCTTTCAAGGCCCTATCTCAAATATAGCCATATTCTAGGGGACTTGGGGTTAGGGTTTCAGCATATAAATTTTGGGGGATAGACTTGAGCCCATGACCCTCCCAGGTAAATGGAGAGACTGAGGTTAGTATTCAGGGAGGCTGAGTCTAGCCATGGTGCTGTCGTGTTTCTGCCACAGCTCACAGTGGCGCCCGAGTCGGCAGGTCTTCACAGCCCAGAGCCGCAGAGAGAGTTGCACCCAGTGAAAACCGTAGCAAACAGGAAGTCCTTGGACATGACGTCCTGGGAACGGGCTTGTGGAATATGAGAGTTTTGGCTCCCTGAGGTGGGGTGGGGTTAACTCAGCCCTGCTTGATGGTCAGAGTACTTGTGTTTTCTTTTCCCTGAAGCATCTTCAGATTTTTTTTCCTTTGGTTTCCTAAAGAACAGTCATCATGAAGAGACTGAGGGAATACATGTTTTTCCCCCGCTCTCACTTATGCCAGAGGGAACAATAATTCGCAAAGTGTGAAATTCAGGCTTGTGGTGAATATGTATGGTAAGTTTAGATGTGACTCAGGCCAACATATTTGAAGAGTTATGAATTGATCTGAGTTTGTGTTAAAAGCATAAAGTTGGTCCTTATTTGATACCAATAAATAGAAAAGTCAGGAATGAATCAGTTGAAAGAAGACTGTCACATAAAGAGCATTAAGTAAATATTAGTAAATAATCTGATGAAAATTGTGGAGGTGGTGTCTGAGTGGCTGAAATTTGGAAAACACTAGGACAGTTTCCTCCAGGGAGAAGACACTTTTGGACATGAGCATAGATGTCACCTTAATTTTTTTACCTGATTCATCTGAATACTTGGCCCTAATTTGCCTCAAGGACTAACCATGAGTGCGACTGCAGGCCTTTGGCTTTTCTGCCTGTGCCCCTGTGCCAAAAATCACATTGGAAGCCAGGTGAAGAGGCATGTGGATGCTTGGGTGATGAGGCTGGCCCTAGTTGTCATGGCTTCTGGATTTTATTTATTTAGTCTTGCTCTAGGGCTTCTGAATACCTTGGCAGTGGCTCACAGCTCTGTACGTAAAAGCAGATGTTTATCACTGTGCGATCAAGAGTTTAGCAACTTGACATCTGATGTGGAATGAAGTATTTAAAATTTAATTACACATGGGGCATTAACAGAGTCGGCATAACTCTGCGAACTCACTTCATAATTGCTGTGAATTTTAGCAGTAGTCTGTTGCCCTTGAATTCCAAGCCCTTCTTCTCCACATTTGGCTCATTCAGTGGCCAGCTGCAGCTGCTGACACCATCCACAGCCGGTCCCTGGGTTTCCGCACCAGGTGCCTTGTGAGGACGAACAGCTCTGGGCGCAGGAGAGCTGGCAGCTTGTCCTGTTCTGCTCAATGCTCAGTGGGCCTGTTTCTGTGGCTGCAAAATGCAGCCATTGCCTTGTCTTTAAGCTCTAACCTTCTGTGATTTCTGTGGCCCCTAGTTTGAGTTCTGCTTTATTAATGTAAGATTGCCCTCCAGTGTCCAGAGAAGTTATGTGCACAAGGAAAGGGCTCCCTTCTAGAACTTCAGGAAGTCAGACACAAAATGTTGCCATCCCTGTCCAAAATAGAAAGATGGTTTAAAGCAGCACTTGCTCAAACTTCACTATGTGTGCGAAGCACCCGGTGGTCTTATTAAAATATGGGTTTGGATTGAGAAGGTTGGGAGTGGAGCCTGAGATTCTGCATTTGTCACAAGCTCCCTGGTGAATCCAGTGCTGCTGGCTGGGGACCACACTTTGAGTACCTAGACTTAGAACATTTCTCCCTGCTTCTGGTAGGTAACAGCCACAGTGCAAGCCAGACGATCTTCACGTAGCCTGCGTGATTGAGAGGTGTCCTTCCAGTCCCTGTGCATATTCTGGTCTCTGCCTGCCCTCCAGCTACCCTTCCTTTGCGTCTCTCCATCGTATTTTAGTTCTAGATACATCAAGCTCTTACTCACCTCAGTGCCTTAACATATACTGTTCTCTGTGCCTGAAATGCTCCCATCCCCACTTTTCCCTTGGGTACTTCGTTGGCATCCTTCAGTCAGAGCATGAAGTGAGTTCCTTTCTGCTCCTGTTTTCTGGTGCCCTATTTGTGTCTCTGTGGCAGTTAACTTCCTGTGCCATATTTTTCTGTTCACTTGTTTACAGTTGTATTTCCTCTTTAAGACTAGAGCTACACGAGAGCTCACACCTGACTTGCACACAGTTGTGTCCTCAGTGCTGCTGCCTCACAGCAGATGCTCCATAAATAAATATTTTCTGAGTGTGTGTAGCCAGGGGGCAAGGAAACATCCTTGAGTTTCCTTTTACACATTTTAGCCACCTGTCTCAAGGGGCTATGATGGGGGTTATACTTAGAGGAATCATAGAATGAGAAGTCAGGAAAGGAGCTCCTTTTAAGCCACATCTCATCATCAGAATGAGAAGTCAGGAAAGGAGCTCCTTTTAAGCCACATCTCATCATCATAGATGTCAAAATGTGAAAAAAAGTTTATATCTTAGAATGGATGAAATAAAGTAAATCTAACATTTCTTAGTTATGTCACAAAAAGAACTTCATAGAACTTGTAACGTGCATTGTGATTCTCTGAGGGGAGAGAATGACTGTGGTTGAAACCCTGTCATCGTTTAACCCAGGGGCCATTCCCTGTCTTCCCTGTCTTTCTTCTTTATCAGCAGGGCATCAACCTCCCACTACTGAGTCTGAAATGCAAAGAACAGATACCAGCTGTTTTTGCTTTAAGGGCATAGGCCTGTTTTTTAGCTCTGCCAGCAGAACCTGCAGAGAAGCCTACTAAGGACTTCTGGGAAGGTTTGTCTGCTTAAAAGAGACACACAAAGGGGAATTTGTCCTGTTTCTCAGTGTGATTGTGGGAGGACATGATGCCTGGCACAACAGCAGCCTCTTCTTAACCTGAGGAATCACACCTGAGGATAGTGGAGTGGAGCAACGCAAAGAACCAGATGCCAAGAATCTGGGCTTCCAACAGTATCACGGAGCTGCTGAATTGACTAGCCCTGCACCTGGGACCTCTTTCTAGTTGGCAAGATAATGTGTTCTCATTGTTGAAGCCACTTTTAAGAAGGTACTTAAAAAAATACATATTTATTTGTTTGGCTGCATCAGTTCTTAGTTGTGGCACGTGGATGCTTTATTGCAGCACACAGGCTCCAGAGCATGTGGGGTCTGTAGTCACAGCTCTAGGGCTCTCTGGTTGCAGCATGGGCTAAGTAGTTGCAGCCTGTGGGCTTAGTTCTACTTCAGCATGTGGGATCTTAGTTCCCCTACCAGAGATCAAACCCAAGTCCCCTGCATTAGAAGTCGGATTCTTAACCACCAAACCACAAGGAAGTCCCTAGACACCCCTATTTTTGTTTTTACATTTTTAAAATTATCTTAGCCAAAAATTTATCTAATATTCAGTTTTAAGTGTATGCCATGATTCTTTCAATATAAGCTAAATATTTAATAATTATTGTATCACATCCTGACAATTTTTTTTCTCTTATTTCTACTATTTCAGCAGCAGTAAAAGTTATTTATTATATCAGTAATCTCATATATTTCTTCTGGCTTCATCTATAATTTTCCATTATGGATCAAAAGTGAAAGTCGCTCAGTCATGTCTGACTCTTTGTGAGCCCATGGACTGTACAGTCCATGGAATTCTCCAGGCGAGAATACTGAAGTGNAAACCTTCAAGTTTTCCTAAAATAATAAATCTTAAAAACATATGCTAATTTTTAGATTGTCTAAAAGCACCCATAAAAACCTGTCACTAGACGAAATACTATATTGGCAAAATTTCCACAGCATACAAGAATATTTTATTAAATTCACCACTGAGACAGTGTCGAGGATAAAGCAATTCATTTGCTACTGAGATACTGTGAAAGCTTTCAGTAGCCTGGAATAAATCAGAATATATTTGCACTCTGGAAGATTTTGATATGAATAGAGCTTGTGTAGCTTAGCAGAAAAAGCAGAGGGACCCGCCTAAACCTTATCTTTAAGACTCATTAGCCACATGACTCTAGGCACACCACTTAAGACTTAGTTTGGGGTTCTATAAAATGGGAATTAAAACACCTACCTTACTGGTTGTGAGAATTTAGAATAATGTATATGAAGCACCAAGTTCAGAGCCTGGCACACAGCAGGCACTTAATAAGTGGTGGCTATTAGTATTTCTTCCAGGTTGAAATTAATAGTAAGAACCTTGGCCTCTGTATCTTGACACCAGTACAAACGTGGAATCGTATTTAGCCAGAATCCAGATTCAATCGTATTTTGCCCAGAATCCTGGGCAAAAGTGAAGTCGCTCAGTCGTGTCTGACTCTTTGCGACCCCACGGACCGTAGCCTACCAGGCTCCTCCGTCCATGGGATTTTCCAGGCAAGAATACTGGAGTGGGTTGCCATTTCCTTCTCCAGAGTTCATTATCTTTGGTACAAATGCCAGCCATGTCTTTTTCGGAGTGGAAATTATTACTTTGGTAGTGGGTGTGATTGGTGTTGTGGTAACCAGAGTGTGCACTGGAAAGTGCGGGGAGTCGTCTGCTTAGTTCTGTGGCTGTCACAGCCCTGTCGGGAGTGGAGTCTGCTCTCCTGTTGTTGAAGTAGAAGCTCTGATGATTGGGTTCAGTAAGGCTGCCCTGCCCTTAAGTGCATGCTCTTTCCCAAAGGATTTGAGTGCTGAAGCAAGTGAGGCCCACACTGTCACAGAGAATCTCTGCACCACCTGTGCAGGTGTCCTTGGTTTTGCCTAGGAGCAGCCCAAGGCCATGTTCCTTTCTCTGTTGTGGTTTTCTGAGACCTAGTGTTAGGCAGGTACTGGGGGCCAGGCATTGTGGCTGCAGGAATCGAGGTGTTTAGCACCTGCTAATCGCCGTTTAGCACCTGGGCTGTCTCGGCGATAGGACTCTCCCAGGACTTGTCTACCCAAGATGTGACTCCAAGCTGTGGTGTGAGGTAGGCAGGACTGGAGTGCACCCACTGGAAAAGGAACAACTGCGTTCTCCTCTCCAGGGGGGTCGTGTGACTGGTCGTGCTATCTAGTGTGCACACCGGCACAGTCCAGTGATGCTGGACTGGCTCTGGGGCCCACTCCTCGAAATGGAGCCCTGATAATTGGGTCCGACATCAGCCTCACCTCTGTCATGCGCGGGCTCACAAAGTTTACCGCCACTGGAGCATGCTGACAGTGGGGGGTCTTACGGTGGACTGTGCCCCTGTGGCAGACACTGAGTGGAGGCCCAGATCACATTGCAGGTAATCTCTGCACAGCTGGACTGAGTCCTCTCCCAGGGGCCATCTGCTGAAGGCCAGGTTTCAGCACCTAGCTGCTGTGCATACTTGCAGCCCTGCCCAGATGGCATTTTGGGTTGACAGTGTGAGTTCATGGTAGCCATCAAGTGCTGGTCCCTCTTTGCCCTGACCGCTAGCAAACCAGCACACACAAACTCCTTGCAAGCAGAGACCAGGCCCCTTCAGCTCCCTGTCTGTGCTGGTGGACTTCCCAGCTGGCAAAGGCAGTTTTCAGGGTGAGAGAACCTTTCCTCTTTCATAACTACCTCCCAGGGGTGTTGACCCCTTCCTGATGCCTTATTTTTCTTTTTTGTCCTACCTGGTTGTATGGAGATCTTTCTTGTAGCTTTGGTTGTATAAGAGCTCTTCTGCCAGTTTTCAGTCGGTTTCCTTTGAGAACTGTTCAACACTTAGATGTATTTTTGATGCATATGTTTAGGGAAGTAAACTTCATGTTCCACTCTTGATCTCCTTTTGTGTTTTTCAGTAACTGCAACACTGATTCAGATGAGGTCAAGTGTAGAGGTGGGTGGTGTCTGGCTTACTGAGGATGAGAACTCTGATACCGTGCTTCCCCATCTCTAGGTTCACTACCTTTTGGAAATTGTCAGCTCACCTGGGTCTTACTGCCATTATTTTATCATAGAACCTATTTATTATTGCAACATCCTCTTCTATCCTCTAGGACCCTGCATTCTGCAGGAAACAGTTTGGGTAATGCTTACCTGGTCAGCTTTTCTTATCAAAGGAGAAATTGAGTCCAAGAGAGGGCTTCTCTCTGATAGTTTTATTTTGAAAAATGTGCATGGTTCAGCCTCTCCCTGTGTCACTCATTTCCACTCACATGAGAAACAACAGAAGGACACAAGTCTGGGTTTAAATTATGTGCATTTATGGGAAACAAAGATATTCAACAACAATAACAAAAGCCCTTCAATCTCTCCAAGTTCTCAACCAGTGATAATGAGGCAGTTTCAATGATTGTGTCTGGCTGGGGACTTTTCTGAAAGGGTCAGGACAGTTGAAAGACATTGGCCAAAAAAGAGAAGATGTAGAAAAGGTGAACATTTTAAATGAGAGTATATTAGACCTCCCTTCTGGCCCTTCATCCTATCACCCTTTCAGGTTACAGTCTCCTCCCAGTTTACAGAGATCCTTCCTGAACTTCGCTCAGATGCAGTCTCTTCCAGAAAGCTGTCCTTGGTCTGCACCAGCTGCATATGCTTTCTTAGTAACGTCATACACACTTTCTCATACTGTCTCCTATCACTTTCTGCCTCACATCTGTCATGTTTGAGTACATGCCTTATGACACCCATTTTTAGTAGGCATGCCCCTGAGATTGGGCCCCAGGTTGACCATTCTAGTATTCCCATTGCCCTACCACATTAAGTGCTCAGTATACAGCAGGTGCTCAGCATCAGCAGGTGCTCAGTGAGGGTTTGTTGAGTTGAAGTCAGTTCTGCATTTGCCACAACACATAACCTCTTGAGAGTCGTAACTGTCATTTCCACTTCTTTATCCTTCCTCCGTGGTCTGACTCAAGCCATCTTCCGGAAGGAACAGACCTCACCATCACCAACTCATGGTTGCAGATTTGGGGAGGGGAGGAGAGATGGTTAGACTTTCACCCCTGTTTCAGAAGGCCAGGAGGCAGGAAAGGCAGCCACTGGGGAAATCAGGATGACTGTGAGCGATGCTGGCCAGTGCTCCATTTTGGAATCTCATAAGCAGTCATTCTTCAAAAGTTTCCCCCATGAAGCATGGCGAACTTTGCAGTGGGAGCCAAGGACTGGTGGTTGGTGTGGTTGGGCTGCTCTACCAACCCAGAAACCAGACAACATAGGCCAGGAAGCTTTCTTTAGGACATGGTCTGTATTACCTTTGGAGGTGTGTGTTAGAGGTTGTCTGTCTAGTTGTTCGGTTGGAGCCATGGTGGGAACATTAGCCCTGTGGCGAGTTGTCAGGCACATAGATTGTAGTAAGGCTGAAAAATACAGGCTGCGAAAATGGGCCTCTCCTCCTAAGGGGGAAGGGTCAGGAGATTTTGGGAGCAATGAGGGAGGGTCCCAAGGGGTCCTGCAGCCCCAGCACTAACAGGTGTCCTGCTCTGTCTCCTGCTCCCGGAGCCCACTTTCTCCCTCTGATTCTTCACGTAGGGGCCAGGCATGGGGCCATGGGAAGTAATGATGCAGAAAAGGGAAGTGCTTTTTCTTTTCCTACCATGAGTCATAGATTTGGACTAGAGAGAGGTGAGGATCAAGGATAGAAGGAGGATTGAAGAGGCGAGGAGAGGCCAAGGCCCTATCCACTTCTCTTTATTTCTGTAACAAATAGACGTGAAACCCACATTTCTAGCTGCATCACCCCCAGACAGCACTGAGGTCCTAGTGGGGGTGATAAGAAAATTCTTCAGGGCTCTCAAAGGTGTTCAGTGACTTGGGGAGAACACTGTGGATCCTCCTTGAGAAGGGCCCCTCTGGGGCCAGTGAAGTGTGAAAACTGCAGGGTCAGCATCCTCCCTGGAGGTTGGGGAAAAGAGCCGAGAAGCAGAGAGAAGAAAGACTCCTTCAGGCACCTCTTTTAGGAAAGAGAGTTGGACCTTGGGGGACTCAAGTCAGGACAGATGTTTCAGTATAAAAAGGCTCCCCAGTAAAAGGATGGGAGTCCCCGCAAATTCCTTCCCAAACCCCATTGCACTTAAAAAAGAGAAAGTAAGGAGCATAAAAATATCTTGATGATGTGGGCTTGCCTGACGATACAGAAAGGCAAGTCTCACGGCAGGCAGTGTGTCCCATTACACAAGAGGATTATACCGAGCTTCAGTATAGAGACTTTACATATATCTTTATATAAATGCATATATATTTATAGAGCCTCTGCCTAGAACAGCCGGGCTTGCTTCTTGAGTTCATTCCTCTTCCAGAGGGCCAGCCGGTCAAACTCGGAGATGGTCATGCCAAAGACCTGGTAGAACTCTTCCTGGGACAGATGGCGCTGGAAGAAGAGGGGAGGAGACAAGAGAGGGAACAACTTGAAGATGTGAGAGGCAGGTGGAGGCAGGAGTGGTTCTTGTACATTTCCTCTGGTTCAGCTGTGCCTAGCACAGTGTCTGACCCACGGAGGGTGTATGATGAGTATCTGTCGAGTGGATGACTGTGTGAGTGAGTGTTTGCTGGGAGGGACCTCTGTAGTTGATCTGGCTGGAGAAGCTTCCTCTACCCAAGACTGGGACTTCTGCTTTACCTGAGTGCCTCTCGGTTGGCCTCCCCTTTCTGCATCCCTGCTCCATGCACTGTTACTGCTGTCTACTTTGGACAAAAAAGGAGGCATGTCCAAGATTTTAGGGTGTATTTCCTCTTAGTAATAAGTTTACAAAAAAAATCTGGAAGAAAAAAAAAATCTGGAAGGTTTTTCTTAGGTCAATGGAAAAAAAAAAATTCCTCTCCTGATTTCTCCATACCATACTCTTTGTTATATGAAAACAAGTATGCCACATAATGAAACATTGTTCTTCATGTCTTAGTGGATTTTTTAACCCCTTTCTGCCTGTCCTCTCTCCTGCCCTTTCTGAGAAGAGGTGAAAGTTGATACAACTTTTATTTCTAAGCTTTGAGTTAGAAATATATGGCACTTAAAATGTGGCAAAATGTAAACAGTTGGTGAAGGATAAATGGATCCTTATTTTGCTATTCTTGAAACTCTTCTGGAGGTTGAGGTCTGAAATTTTATTTTTTAAATAAAATTTATGATTTTGTTTAAATAGAGAATTAGATAGCCTGTATCCTGCCTGAAAGCTTACTGCATTCACTTGCTCTTGTTGCCAGTTATATTAGCTCATCAGGTATTGAAGGAAATTGAATGAGACGTATGTGTACAGTCACATAACAATTAGCCAGTTCTCTGGCTTATTGTCACTGTGAATGAATGTTTTTGCCACATTTCCAAAACTTTCTTTAGGTAAAGGTAACTTTGATACTTTTGTTAGATATCACTGGTTATACATCTGAGTTGATTTTTTTGGTACTTAGTATTTAATACTATCACCAGTTACCTATATTGCATTTGTATCATGCTCATATGTACGTTCACCCTTATTTTTCTCCTTTAATTCTTCTGACCACTCTGAAAACAAGGAATTATTGTAAAAAACCCAATTATTGTAAAAACCCAATTGAAATGTGAGAAAAGCAAAAGTCAGAGAATTAAAATGATTTGCCCAGGGTGGAGGGGAGACCACTAGGTAGGTAGCAGAACTGAGTGAGTCTAGGGATCCTGATTCCCAATGCAGAAAATAGCACAGTACACACGCATGTCCCTCACCCAGATTCAATGACCATCAGAATCATATTTTCTTCTTTTTCCTCTCCTTAAGTGTCTTAACTCTAGACACTGTCATTTCACTCCTACATACAGCAGTTGGCATCTCAAAGCATACTGGGTATTTATTTTCTTACATAACCACAATAGCATGGGCAAGAAAAAATGACAATTCCACAGAATTACCTAATACTTGTCCACAATAAAACTCCGCTAATGGTCTCAAAAGTATCTTTTTAGAGCTGGTTTGTTTGAATAAGGATTCATACGGCACCCACATGCCACATTTGGTTGTGAGGCTCCTTCAGAGCCCACCAGTCTAGACAGCGCCCTCTTCTTTTGTTCATACCTGTTGACTCACCCAGATCTGTTTTACTTTCAAGTGCTGAAAATATGTGGATATGAGGACATTCTCTACCCCTTCCATAGTAAAGCCTGAGGGGAACTGTAATTTAGTCCAGTTTTTTCTTTTTCTGTTGTTGGAGAGTGATGGTTACTATTGATTCTCTAGCTGGCTTTCGCCACTGTGTTAAAAAAAAAAAAAAAANAATAATCTTTTTTTTTTTAAAGAAGCCTCAGTATAAAGGAATTAAGCCTAAACTACTCAAGTAGACACTTTAGGACACACTGAGGAATCTGAGGCTTTCTTCTCTCTGTTGAGAGCCACATGGAGTCTCCTTTCTCCTAAGCATTTAATGGCAGCCTGTCCCCTTGACATCCATCACAGACTTTAATGCATACAGATTATGTGCACGGGGTTTAGAGCCAGGCAGATATGAGTGTGTGACCTTGGACATGGTACTTTCAACATCACTGAGCTTCAGTGTCCTCTCGTGAGAGTGGCAGCATGCTAGTACCTGCCCTCATGGATCCTGTGAGGATGACCGAGATGATGAGGGCCATGCTCTTGGCACAGTGAATCACTGGCACTCTCGTTAGTGCAGGGATCTCATCATGTGTCTGTGACACAGTGTGGCCTGGCCTCCGTTCCCTTTGATTTCATCCCCTCCTCGTCCTCTCTCCTGGGCTCACATGGCCCCAGCCACACTCACCTCCTGCTGTCCTCCAGCACACCAGGCTCACTCCTGCATCAGGGCCTTGGCGGTGGTGTTTCCCTGGCCCAGAGTGCGCTTCCTTTCTATATAAGCATGGTTTATACTTCAAGTGTTTGCTCAGATGTCATGTTTTCAATGAGCTCTACTCAGACCTCCCTATTTAAACCTGCAACTCGCCCGTCCAGCTCCCAATCCCCCTCACTGTGCTCTCCTTTTACCCCTTCCCCTCAGCCCCATTACCTCCCAACACACTGTATTATTTCCTTATTATTGTATCGTTTACTATATGTCTCCTCACATAAGAACACCAGCTCTGAGGAGGCAGGGGTCCTTGTTTTGCCCACAGATAACACTGCAAGCACCTAGAACAGTATCTGGTATATATAATAGGTTTCAATAAATATTTATTGCATGAACAAGTATCTATACTCTGAGCTCCCTGAGGTCAGAGGGGTCTCCTCCTTCAGTGCCCGGCCTGAAGTGCTGCTGCAGGGTCTCCAGCCCAGGAGTCTCAGCTCAGGCTACATATCAGACATCCCTGGGAGCCTCTGAAGAACACTGATGCCTGAGCTCCTTCCCCAGATTGCGATTTAATTGGACTTGGGTGGGACCCTGTACTAGTATTTTTAAAAAGCTCCTTAAGTGATTCTGATTCTTAGAGAAGGTTGTGTTTTCCTAGGTGTCCAGGAGCAGAGCAGTTGGTCATCCAGGACGAACCAGGCTTGTGAACATTTTCATCCCTAAATGCTGGCTCCTCTGAGCTGCCGAGGGAGCTGTCCCCGTCAGCACTGGCAGACACTTCTGTGGGGAGAATCACAGGCTTCTCTCCCTGCTACCCCAGCCTGCTAGAGCTGGAAGGACTCACAGAGCATCCTGGCCACCCACACCCTCCTCCTATGGCTTCAACCCTCTATTCTGGGCAGATTCCTTAGCTCTCAGGTCAAGGGTGTCCCAAGAAGTGCCAAGCCTCCTCTCTTACAAGCCTGCATTCAATTCCACAGACATCTCCTGACCCTTCTCCTACTCTAGGCCCTGTGGTAGATGACAGCATGTCAGACAGAGGAGATGGATGGCTTGATGATCTGATGCAAAGGAGAAAGGTATTAGGTCTGTGCTCTGGATACAGGGCTGGCGGAGGCTGGAGGAGGAGGTCAGTGACACACCCTGAGGAAGGCTTTGGGGAGGCTCTGGGGCGCAGGCATCACTAGAATGGAGCCCTGAGGAGTGAAGGGGCTGCTGAGATGGAAAGGGTGTTCCAGGGAGAGCCAGGGAGGGAAAGGCCAGGGGGTGCTTCTCGAGCCGGCGTAAGCAGGGACTGGAACTCCATGCCCAGTGGACTGGACGGCTCAAGGGCCCAAGGCCATGCTTAGGCCTCATCTGTTCTTTATTGGTGTTGCTCCTCCCTCTCTGTCCATCTGAACCCGCCCACCCCAAGTCCATCCAGTTCCTCCCTCTGCCTGGAGGCCTGTGTCAGCACAGCTAGCCTTGTGGTCTTCTCCAAGTAAGAGAGCTTTCTACTCCGTACACTGCTGGATTCCATGCCAAGGGCTCTGTGTGTACTGTCTCGTGTGTGTCACTTGGCAGCTTGAGGAAAACATGACAATCACCCCGTCTTAGAGCGGAGACAGCCAAGGTTTGGAGAGGGGCCAGTTCATCATGTGGCCAATCTGTCCACCTAGCGATGGCATATCAGGGTTGGAACCTAGGGAGTCCTGCTCGAGACTTGCTTATATGTTTGTCCTCTGCAGAGAACTGTCCCCATCCTTTCCCACTGCGGCCACTGGTTGTCTATACAGTTCTGTGAAACGCCAGTGCTGTTTTTTCTTAGCACACAGGCTGCAGGACCTTGAAAGGCAGGAACCAAATTCAGCTCTCCTCTTACGTCTGCAAAAGTATCAGCCCAGTTTGGAGACACGCTATAGCTGTGCACCACAGATGCTAACTGAATCAACAGGCTGCATAGAACAGCAAGGAACAGCCTGGGCTAAGGAAACCAGGTAGGAGTCTCTGCTTTTTCAACCAGCTGTGTGACCCCTATATCATTTATTCTGTCTGTCCCTCCCAAGCTGGGTGAGACCAGTCAATTTCTGCAATCACTGCAAACCCAGAGGCTCCTGCCCAGTTTTCTATACCTACCTCTAAACGCGTCCGGTCCACATCCTTCGGCAGTCGGTTTCTCCCTCTTGTGGTCACCAGGAGCAGCTCATAAGGGTAGATCTGAGGAGACAGGAGGGGGTGTTTGTAGGTTGGGTGAGGGTGGTGGCTGCGATCCCTCTTCTATCCAGGAAGGGCCAGAGATTATCAAGTCTGGAGGAAGCACTGGTGCGTCCTCTTTGGAGTTTCCTGGCAGCCTCAAGGCACCTTCTGCCAAAGGCAAGACCCCAGAGTCCTCAGATACTGCCAGGGATGAGCATGGTGTGTGAGCAGAAGGGCTCCTGAATGTGAATGTCTCATATTTGTAATTGGCATGCCTCCAGAAATGTCTCCGAGACCTGGGGGAATTGTCTGGTTTCAGGAGGCAAGAGATGTAGGGCAGGATTCAGGGAAAAAGCCCAAGGAAATGCTAATTTTCTTGGGACCGGAAATGCTAATCCTGAGAGGACCCTTGGGGTTACTTGTCGATGGTCCCTTCTTTACATAGACAGTGCTGTCATCTTGCTGCTCATCCCCAGTGTAGCAACTTGCAGGGTCCAGAGACCTGCAGGGTCTATGTATCTTTACCTTGTACTCTGCAGAGAGAAGAGAGACACACAAAAAGTAGAAACCATCAGTGTTGGCTTTGAATCCCTACACTGGCTTCTGTTATAGAGACCCTGTCCTTATTGAATTCATCCCAAATCAAGGCTGGTTTGAATACAATGGAGAAAGGGGTTGGGCTGATCCAGCAACAGGTTTTTAGTGATATTTAGAATAGAAATAAGAAGAGTCTGGGGGCCATGAAGCACATGGGTGAAGTCCTTCATCTTCCAGGGGGATTCCTCCAGGGTTTGATGTGGACCTGCCTGAGACTGCTTACTGGAGCCAGATGAGGCTGGTGGAAGAGCATCACAGTGTGAGGCTCATGGAATTTTTTCTGGGAACAATGTGTCTGGCTCTGAGTGTTTCCCTCTACCCGGGGGGCTGGCAGGCAACTGCAGTTCAGCAGTACTGGGAGAAAAGCAAGCACTCTGTGATGGCTCTGGGAATGCAGATGGGACAAAAGGACTGGAGATCACCCAAGGCCAGGGACCTGAGAGGGTGAGGGGGGAGGGCGGGAAGTGAAAACTACCGTGGAGCTCTGATCCCCTTCGTGTGCTTAACCCTAAAATTGTCTCTTACACAATCCAGTCTCCCACTTCTGTCCCTCTGCAGTCTCTTCTCTACACAGGGGGGAGCCCATTAAAAATCTGAGTTGGCTGGTGCAGCACACCCACAGGAAACCTTCTGAGTCTTTACCAGCGCTGGGCCCTAATGACACCTGTCTGGCTTCATCTCCACGCTCACTCCATCCCAGCCTCGTGTCCTCTCCACCCAGGGGCTCTGACACGGTGCTTGCCTCTGTTTGGGTGGCTCTTCCTCATCTTGGACAGGTGAGGTCATCCCTCCCTGCACTCAGGTCTTTGTTTAAACTCACCCCTCTGACCTTCTCCAAGTACATGTGACTGCTGACTTCAAGTCACACATGCACTTATGGGTCATCTGTCTCCCCAGCTAGAATGTGAGTTCCACAGGAGCAGCAAATATGTTCACCGTAGGACCCCCAGCACCCTGAACAGTGCCTGGCACTTGGTAGGTGTTCAGTAATGAATGTCTGTCTTAATGTCCCTTCCCTTGCCCCATTCCTTGTCTAGTCACAGAGCCTCTCCTTTTGCCAACAAGACATTTTTCATTCCCTTTCAGTCCTTAAACCAACTCAGCTTCCATGAAGGTTCTATGCTGTGGGATATCTAAGAGTTCAGAAGGCTCCAGGTCACAGCAGGTGAGTCAGTCAGGTCAGGCTGTGGGGGCAGCTGGCCTGAGCTCGAATCCTGGCTCAGCACTTACTAGGAATGAGAGCTCAAGCAGGTCACTGCACCTGTCTGTACCTCCATTTCTTCATCCACAAAATAGGTTATTAAAAATAGTAACTACCTTGCAGGGTTACAATAAGTGAGTGCTTGTAAAGTGTTCAGCATGGAGTAATTGTGCCATAAATACTAGGTGCTCCCAGCCCTCCCATGGGGGCTCTTTTGTCAATGCACCTCTAGCCCCAAAGCCTCTGTCCGGGTTTCATCCGTTAGTCATCACCCACGAGTGGATGCAGGAATTGTGAACTGCTTGGGGATAATGTCCCCAGTGCATCTTACTTACCCTGTGCAGCCCGTTTCTTCTGTAGGCAGGCAGGGAGGCAGATTTAGAGATGAGGGGGTCTGAAAAGGAGCCAAGACAATTACCAGAAGTCCCAAGCCAGGGTTTCCTCTCCCTGAGGTCATCTGGGCAAATGGCCAACGTTACTCCCTGCTTTCATGGGAAGGGGCATAGACAGGGGCCACCAGCTCCTTCCACTGCGCTCCAGGCTTACAACTAACCATCTCAGGGGTGCCTCACCCTGGCAGAATTCAAGGACCACCCAAAGTACCCACTCAGAGTCTTATGGCCTTAACTGCTCACATTTACACTCCTGTGATGGACCCCTGTGTCCTGGCCACATCGTGGCTCTGAACAAAGGCCCTGGGATTGGAGTCGAGCTCAGAACTCAGACAGGCAGGCTCCCACATGGGTGGAAGATGGGTATACTCTTTATTTCTCTCTGGGAGCCGTTGGGCACTGCAGCCCTGGTTCCAGAACCAAAGATTAAAGCCCACCATCTGACAAACGCACGGGGTGGACTATGTCAGATGAGGACTGTGCTGGAACAACCATGCTGTATACTCATCACAGCTCAGGGGGACCTCAGCTGACTCGGCTCTGGCCCTCACAGAACATGACGGTCTGAAGGTAGGGTGGGCAGAACGTACCGCTGTCGGCCAGGTAGTGGGACCGAGGGGCTGCAAGAGAGAGAAATTGGAGGTCAGTGCTCATGTTGACAGACAGAGAGAAATAGCTCGTTCCTGGGCCACCCTGGCCGGTGGGGAGGAGGGACGTCTTCAGTACCTGCTCCCACTGGTCAGTTTCTAGTTGTTGCACCTGCACCCGGTCCTCCCTCCTCGGTCCAGCATGTAGCCCAGTGCAGGTGCTCTGTGATAATTTGTTGCACAGCTGCCATTGAATGGAGCTCAATTTTGAGCAGCACTGCTAGAAAGTACAGCGCCCAGAGCCAGGGGTTGAAAACAGTGCCCCTCAGTGGTCAAACAGGGAAACAGCTCATCGGTTCATCCCGGCTCTGCCACTGATAGATAGATACCCAGCTTCAGATTAGTAAATCATGCTTCTCTGTAAGATAGGGAAGGACAGTGTCTCTTTTATAGGGTTCTTGTGAAAGATGTAGGGCACAATACAGTGAATATCAGTACAGTGCCTGACAGATACAAACCCTCAATAAAACTGGCTTTATCATCATCATCACTACCACTGTCATCTTTGATCTCACCTGGAGTCAAGGTGCAGTACATACAGCAAAGAGGGGAAAAAGCTTATGGCCGAGTCACTCTGTGTTGGGTCTGACTTTGGGCAAGAGGTCTCTCCTCTGTGAAGTGGGTGGTAATAAGCCCTTTACGTTCTGGGTCTTTGTGAGGACCAGGGCTGTAGTGTATCTGCAAATGCCCAGCACACTGGATTATAATAATTGGTACCTTTGTTTGTCCATCAGGTATTGACCTGAGATAGGATTTCCTGGCAGGACTGAATCCCACAGGGATTCAGTAAGAGATGAGGCAGGCAGAGTTATGCGTGGGTCCAGGAACAGGTAGGAGCTTACACTGAGAGGCTCTCAGGGCAAAATGCTTGAACCAAGCCTCTGATTGTATACCTCCAGTGATGGGAGGCTCACTACTTCAAGAGTCAGCCCTGTTTATCTTCAGACTATTAGAAGAGTTTTTTTCTTTACATGGCACCTGACTGAAAGTCACAGCTTCAGATTGACCCAAAGAGGAAGAAGTGCCTCCTCAGGTCAGAGCATGGTCTTTAGTCTGTATTCTAGATCCTGGTGAGCCTGTGTGGGAGGTTAGATTCACTTAGGGAAGAACTGATGGGGAAGAAAGTGCTCTCCCCCTACCAGCGGGCTCCGGGGCAGTGCTTACAGCCATTTAGGGACACATCGTAGCCAGCTGTGTGCAGGGCCTCCCGGCTGCTGGTGGAGCTCCGGGGCGGGGTCCAGGGGTCTGCATAGGAACTGGACCTGGCCTTCATCTCTTCCTTCAGAATTAGTCTGCCGATTCCACTCTGGAGCTGGGGGTGGGAGAGGAGGAAGATGAAGTTAGAAGGAAACAAAGAACACTGAGCTGAAACAGGCTTGGGGAAAGGCTGAGGGACCAGACTTCTAGCCTCTCACATTTTTTGCCTTCCCAGTGTCCCGCTACCTTTGTAGCTTCCATGTTTTTTTGGGGGGTGGATTTCATCTCTTCCACAAGGAGTCCTGTGGTCAGAGTGGGGCCCTGGTGGTGGGCACAGAAATAAGACCTGGCCAACAATAGCACTGTTGTCCACAATGATTGTGGACAATCACTGTCCACAGTGATTGGTTCAGTGATGGACAGATGGCTCTAGCTAGGTGAGGGAGAGCCTTCCTGGGACTCTTGGAGTTGCTGGCACCCATCTTTTTAAACCAGACATTTTTGGGGGTGAAAGTCACATAACATAAAATTAACCATTTTAAAGTGAACACACAATACAGTGAGTGGCATTTAGTATATTCCTGCTACTGTACAGCCACAACCTCCACCTATTTCCACATCATTTTTATCACCCCAAAAGAAGATCCTCTACTCATTAAATGATCACTCTCTTTTTCCCCCTTTCCTTCTAGGCCTTGATAATCACCAATCTCTGTTCTGTCTCTGTGGATTTACCTCTTCTGGATATTCCATAGAAATGGAATAGTACAGTATGTGGGCTTTTGTGTCTGGCTTCTTTCACAAAGCATAGTGTTTGCAGAGTTCATATACATTGTACCATGTATCAGCACTTCATTCTTTTTTTAGCTGATACTCTGTCATATGGATATGCCACATTTTGTTTGTTCATTCATGAGTTGATGAACATTTGGGCTGCTTCCGCCTCTTGTTTATTTTGAGTGGTACTGCCATGACCTGGGTGTATGTTATTGAGTACCAGTTTTCAGTTCTTCTGGGTATATACCTAGGAATGGAATTGATGGGTCTGTGAACAAAGAATATCTCATGCCAAATCAATAAACAAAGGATGTTGCAGCCATCAAACCAGCCTCTGCAGCCAGCAGCCCCCCATCCCACGGTGCACCCTGAGGGAATTCAGAAGGGAGTAAAACAGGATACTGGCCCTAGACAGTTAAGGTGCACATCAAATGAATCATTTCACTGAGCCCAGACTCTTGCATCTTCCCATACATAGGAAGGGGCTAAATTCATTAACCTGAGATGTTTGTTTTTGCCTTAATTATGATCTTTTGATGTTTGACTCTTCTTTGTCTTGTGTTACAGAAACTCCTTTATCTCCTGGCTCCTCCCTTACCTCTTCAGAACTGTGCCCCCCAGCTGTCTGAGAGCTTAGGTCCTTAGTGTCTGCTGATAAAACATAACTCTCAACTTTTCAGATGTGTGGTTTTTTTTTTGGTCAGCAGTTTTGACGGCCACAGAGGGACCCAGAGCAGGCTTTTCTCCTCTGCCTGAACTCTAAAGGCTCCAGGGCCCAGGTGCCAGCAGAGGCTTCCCGGGCCTGTCCGCCTTCCCAGAGTCCAGATGGATTTGGGGAGCGTCTCTTGTTACTGGGCTTCCCTTGTGGCTCAGCTGGTAAAGAATCCACCTGCAATGCAGGAGACCTGGGTTTGATCCCTGGGTTGGACAGATCCCCAGAGAAGGGAAAGGCTACCCATTCCAGTATTCTGGCCGGGAGAATTCCATGGACTGTATAGTCCCATGGGGTCTCAGAGAGCTGCACATGACCGAGTGACTTTCACTTCACTCTCCTATTAATGGCTGATGATCCTAAGTTTTATTCAGTGGTATTAAACTCCTCACTGGAAGAGAGGTAGGTTATCCTCGAAACTTAGTTTCAAGAAGAGGTACCTGGGTTATCCTCCATCTGAAGACACTGAAGATTTTTTGCCCAGTTTAGACACTGAACGCGTTATCCTCGGTTGAAATACTGAGGAGACTTGGCTCAGTTGTGAGACCCTGAGTAAGGTTGGACAGAGTAATTATATAGAAGACTGGATTGTCGTTTTTCCTTGAATTGGATGCTTTATAAAGTTTGTAAAAATAAAAGTGAAGATATCTCATGAGAGCTTTCAGCTCAGAAAGAACATCACCTCCTGGCTGGCAGTGGCTTTCTCAGGAAACTGAGAAACTTGTGGGAGTAATAGAGCCAAGTCCTCACACCGTGCAGCTGTACCCATAGGGTAACACACTCTTTTTAACTAAAAACTTGCTTTCCATGGACATGCAAAAGAGCCAGCCAGTCCATACTCCAAGCACTCACAGTGGTCTCAGGCTGCTGAAGGGAGAAACCAAAACATGAGAGGGCTAAAAGGACTCCAGGCTAAACTCTAGAGGAGTTAAGCTCACGTCAGCACATTGGCTCACCACCAGTCATCACTAGTGATTTTATTTCAACAAAGTGACCTTGGAATGGGGAATAAAGCTTTCAAAACAAAAAGAATAAGGATCGATGGGTTGCCAGCCTCTAAGACCCCAGCCAGATTTCTGCATGTACAAAACTTATATTCACAAGTACTTACTTCATTAGAAATTGAAGTAACTCTCATCCTGAAAATGACTAAGGCAGGGTGATGGTGGGGGGGCGGGGGAGAAGGGCCTCTTCTATTGCATACACAGTTAAATTAGAGGAAGCCGTGTTGATAAACACCTTTTCAGAATTCTGACTTTAAAGAAACAAAAGCCCTTCTAGGGAGAACTTGCATTTCTGTCCCTGTGTCTTTGAGATGTAAGTATTCTACCTGATTTTCTTAGGCATTTTGTGTATGTATCATCAGTGTGGGCTCTCTTTACATTTCTGATTTTTAGAAACTTGCAGGAAAAAGACAGTTGCTTTTGATTCTCAAAAAAACTGGTCTGCTGTCTAAATATTTTATCAGTCTTTTCCACAAACAGCAAGGCCATAGTAATCTGAGCAAGAAAATTTTACTTAATAAAACTATTATTTATAAACTAAGTTTATATTGTAATACCTGATTCATAACTAAGTTTTTAAGGTGAAGCTAATGTAAATATATACATACATTACACAAGGTGTCTCTACCTTCAGAAAATACTGTCAAAATTAAATTTACAAAAGAACTTTAATTAGCTTAAAAGTAAGTGCTTACAAATTAAATACTTCTAAACAAGATGAAATTGGCCAGAATGAATTTCAGGTTCATCTAGGAAATATTCAACATTAGATTAATATCTGGTATTAAAACTAACTTAAACTTGCTGGTTTAATCAAGACAGACATCTCTTACTTTCCTACCAAGCTTTACTGAAGGTCAGTAAGTTCATGTTATTTCTGTTGCAGCATTTGTCAGCAAAAAAAATTGGTATGATGATATTTTTGCAAGTTATAAAGATAAAGGTAAATGAGATTAGAGTTTTCAGGTGAACCCCTTAGGAATAAATATGATTTGGGTTTTTAACTGCTTTTGAACTATATTATTGGAGAAGACTCAAGGGGATCAAACCAGTCCATCCTAAAGGAAGTCACTGAAAGGACTGATGCTGAAGCTGAAACTCCAATATTTTGGCCACCTGATGCAAAGAACTGACTCCTTGGAAAAGACCCCGATGCTGGGAAAGATTGAAGGCAGGAAGAGAAGGGGACAACAGAGGATGAGATCTGGATGGCATCACCGACTTGATAGACATGAGTTTAAGTAAGCTCCGGGAGTTGGTGATGGACAGGAAGCCTGGCATGCTGCAGTCCATTGGGTCGCAAAGAGTCGGACATGACTGAGTGGCTGAACTGAACTGATGATTTGGGTGTATTGATTTAAAATAGTTTTTGCAGATTTTTGGTAACTTAAAACTTTAGAGTTTTTCCTATTAATTTAAAAATTTTTCTTTCATATCGGAGTATAGGTGATTTACCAGGCTGTGTTAGTTTCAGGTGCATAGGTAAATGATTCAATTATACATATAAATATATCCATTCTTTTTCAGATTCTTTTTCCATAAAGGTTATTATAGAATATTGACTTCCCTGTGCTATACAGTAGGTCAAAAGGACAAAAGATTTCAAAAACAAATACAGATCACTTATAGAAAAAGAATCTCACACAAACTGTCAAAAGCAGTATTCCAAGAAAACTTTGTTCTCTTAACAGAGAGTGGAACCAAATCCAGTCTTGTACCCAGCCCACTTCTAATAGTAATATCCAGTTACCTGTATTTGTTTTTGAAATTGTTTGTCACTTTGGTTAAGTGAGTAAGTATTGTTTCACAGTGATCTATGATCCTATTTGGCCAAGTGTTTTGAAACCTTTGTGATATTTTTGACAAATTTCCCAAAGAACAAATTCTAACTTAAGTTATTTGATCCCTAGCTAACTCTGGGATGCTTCAAAGAAATTCTGAGGCATCTCTGAAATGTTATTTGGTATGTTATTAATAAATCAGGGGTCCCCAGCCTCTGGGCCATGGACTGGTACCTTCTGTCAGATCAGTGGTGGCCATATTAGAAATAAAGTGCATAATAAATGTAATGTGCTTGAATCATCCTGAAACCATCTCCCTGTCCATAGAAAAATTATCTTCCACAGAACCAGTCCCTGGTGCCAAAAAGTTGGGGACTGCTGTGTTAAATTACTTGAGAAGCACTGTCAAGTTTATATTGTATGGGTAAATCTCATTAATATAGATATTCCAAAATTTATATGGAATTCCTGAAAATCTGATATGTCCCACTGTAAAGTTGCAGATCTTTAACCTTGCCATTTTAAGTCTTGTTGTTTATAGACAATCACTTGTTTTACTCTGACACTTCTATAAAATGAAAATCTTAAAAAAGATTCATTAAAAATGACTTTTGATAAGCATAAGTTTCTGATAACTTTTAGATCATACTCCTGAACTGGGTAAGAAATTTAAAAACGAATGGAAAACCTGACAACTTCATCTAGATCAACAGGAATTAATTACATGGGACTGAATGAATTGATAAATATGATTTATAACTTTATGACTTTTTCTGATATATACTGATTTTTAATTTCTGTTTTCCAGAAAAACTTTCCTCTTACACTATCACCTACAGCAAGTTGATAAAGTTAAGTATACCTTTGTAAACAAAGATGAAACATTTACCTTTGTTTCTCTACCTGATCCTTCCAGAATTTGGCTTTTCCAGCTGGATTCCCTGTGGACTTTGATGACTTATTTTGACCAGATTACAACTCATTATACTAATTATTCTTTTTAATGTGTTTTCTCTTGTTTTCAAATTATACTTTGTGCCTCTCTCTGCTGCACTATCAGTTTATTAATGTTACCAGCTGTATTGCTTATATTGTCTGTTTTTTTTATAAGATTGTTGTCTCTTACATTACCAATGCATAATCAAGCCTCCAATAAATTTAATGTTATCTCAAGGCAGTTATTCATATACATAACTCTACATAGAATAATTGTAATAGAGCAACTCTAGATATGGGAAGAAGTAACAAGGGAAAACATATCCTAGATCGTAACAGACTAGTAAGACACATGACCCAGAGACTTTTAGATTATCAACAGGGCCTAATCCAAGAAAAATCAGTACATTCAGTGGCTTGTCAACAGAATCTTTATCTGATCTAGGAATGCACCTTCCTTGCACCAAGGGACAAAATCGGTCATGCAGTGCCTCCAAAATTGGTCGAATTTATTACCAGGAGGAAGCACTGTGAGCAAAGAATGTCACCTGCCATATCAATAAACAAAGGATGTTGCTGCCACCAACCTCTGTGGCTACTCTCAGTGGTATACCCTGAGGGGATTCAGGATGGAGAAAAACAGGATATTGACCTTAAGATAGTTAAGGTGCAAATTAAGGAATGATTTCAGTGAGCCCAGTCCCTTGCATCTTCCCATACATACTAAAGGGCTTAAATTCATTACCTGGAGATGTCTGTCTTTTCTTTAGTCAGCAGCAATCTTTGGATGTTCAACTTCCTGATTTTTTTTTTTTTTTTGCAAAAACTATATATCCTGGCTCTTCCCTTACCTCTTTGGAACACTTTCTCAGAGCTATCTGAGAGGCTGAATCCTGGGCTTATGTCCTGAGTATATCTGCTGAATAAAACATAATTCTCACCTTTTAGGTGGTGTGTGTGTGTGTTTTTCATCCATAGTTCCTGTTGTAATTCTACCTGGTAACTTTGTGAGGGCCACAGACCCCTCAGCAGCTGCACCACCTTCCCTTCCCACCAGTGATAATACAAGTCACTGGTACCCACTGACCACCTGATGGCAGGAATAACCTACAGCTAATCCTACCAGCTGACTTTTCTGTTATGCCAAGTTTTGCATTTCTTTTTTTCTCTTGTAGTTTGAGTTTGGTTTCTGTCCCTCACAAATGAAAAAACCCTCAGTAACATACCATGGCAGCATCTCATTCAGTGGTGTGGCCTGCTTACCTTGTGCATACTGCGGTCAAAGTCGTCCTCCTCTCCTCCAGATGAGAATCTTCTGGCTCGGGGCACTGCCGGAAAAGACAGCTAGGATCAGCTCCTGCCCTGGGGAGAGGGCATGGGGGCAGTACAGCCTGCACAGAGGGTTTCTGCTTGGCTTTACCACTTTCTGGATGGGTGACCCCTCACAAGTGCATGGTGAGCTGTCTTCACCACGGGCCTCCCTGTACTGAGACGCCCAGTGTCCCTTCCCATTCTTGGGCTGAAAAGTGCCGGCAAAGCTAACTGCACAGACAGAGGTAAGAAACCACGATGTTAGGACTCTTGCTGACACTGGCAGGAAAGGTGCTCTCTCTGCCAAGGGCGGGGGGTCAGCCTGGATCTGCCAGAGCTCATCCTGCCGTGACGAGGACAGTCAGCCTGAGGCTGGAGCCACCCAGCCCCGAGGAAAGCTCAGGTCCTGGTGGTTCCCACCCACCTCTAGACCCAGCTGTACCCCAGAAACTTCCAGTCACCTGACCCAGGAAATCCTTGTTTTGCCTCAAGTCATTTGGAGATTTTTTTAAATTTTGTTTCTCCTTTTTTTGTGATTGAAATAGTCTCATCTAAGATTCCCCTCTGAACACTTATCTCCTGTGGACACTGCCCACTCCCCCACTCTGGGTTACATCTGTGCTTGTGTCGTAACCCTTTTCCAAATGGAGAATTCTTTGAGGGTGGGGCAGGGTCACCTCTGAGCTCCCATGAAACTTTGCTCAAAATGGACACTCGTTACTAAAGGTACATGCTGAAGCAAAGTGGCCTTAATGACAGCTCCTCCCCATACTTGAAAGAAACACCATCTGGCGGGCTGGCACCTTGAGGAACATTAAGACCCCCGCCAGGTGCCTCCGAGAGCCTTCCATTGCCCACAATCCTCTTTTTCCTTCTCCAAACCATTTCCCACCTACAGCCAAAGTGGTCTCTTACAAACATAAATCTGATCATGCCACCACTTTAAACAACTTCCTACTATTTTGGATAAAGATCAAAATCCTCAAGGCCCTGTGGTATCTGGCCTCTCACCCCCCGCCCCGCCCTTCCTTCTCTGAGCTCAAGATTAAGCTGACGGCCTTTCCTTTGCTCGAGTAGAGCCCATCCTCCAATCTTGGGTCTTTGCAGATGTGTTTCTACACCTTGTAGGCTTACCTGCTGTTCACCCTGTGGCAGCCAAGGCTCTATATGTGAGAAGCTTCTGTCATCTTCCAGGCTGCATGGCATGCCCCTGCCATCAGCTCTCTACCTTCTGTACCTCACCTCCCTCTCCAGTTGGGACCTATGTCTTGTCTACCAGGGCAAGGACCTGCTCTAGTTTGCTTTCCAGTGTCTCCTGAAGGCCCATGACTGCCCTCAGTACATGTTTGCTGAGTAAATGCATTCTTGTGTGAAGGAGTGGCGACCGTCTGTCCTAGCCCTCTGTGTCCCTGGTGTAGGTAACAGGGCTCTGGTCCCGGCTCCCTTGTGGAGGGGTGTGGTACCTTTGGGGGACCCGTGGTAGGTCCAGTACTCAGATTCTGTCGCATAGTAGGGGTCTGGCGAGTAGGCTGGACTGTACTTAGAGGCCTGGCTGATGTCTTCACTTGTTTTGCTCTTGGTTGCTGTCGACAGATCACCTGCAAAGGACCCAGAGAAAGAGGTTCAGGGAGGCCAGACGTCCTAGAAGAGTGTCCCGGACACACTCCCTGTTTCACTGGGCTCCAGCCCAGGGGAGGGAAGCCACATCCAGGCCAGGGTCTGAGACATGGGCGTTAGAGCCAGAAAAGCACTGAGGTGTCAAGCCTCTCATTTCACAGTTGGGAATCTGAACACCTGAGGGGGAGGGCCTTGCTCAGACCACACAGCGAGTGAGACCAGAACTGGATCAGAACGAACATGTCTCAGCAGTGGTTCCCCCTCTGAGCACAGCTAGGAGTCATGAATAAAGTGGGTTACAGTGCAGAGTCGTGTAGGCTACATGCTTAGTATTTCTAATTAAGGAAGTCTAGGGCAGGGGAGAGGCCAGGGTATCTGATTTGTAAATAAATTTGGGGTGCAGGTGGTCCACAGGCCATTCTGTAAGAAACACTAAATGGATGAACAAATGAATGAAGGCACCCTCAGCCCCTTTCTCATCCACACCCCGTCTCCAGGCCTCCAGGTATGTACTTCCAGGACATGGTGACAGAGAACAGCTTAGAGCAGTGGTTCCCAAGCTGGGCTGGACATTAGAATCACCTGGAGGAACTGTTAACAAATACATAGCTTGGATTAAGTCCAGGGTGAGGCCCAGGAACCTCTATGCATCCCACGGGATTCTAAGGGACCTCCACGTTTGAGGACAAATGCCTGGGAGCATCACTCTCCCAGGGCCACTGCATTTGACAAACATTACTCTGACCATGGATCTTGGGACACCAACCAGCGGGGGAAGGTGGCGCTGGGGGGTGGTGAGATGGTGGGAGAGGACCTAGGTGATACAAGGCCTTCCTTGCCCTTTTGAAATGACACCAAACCCCACCCCCGGCCAGCATGAGGGAGCAGCCGACGAGGACCGAGCTGCATCCTTGGCGTCCCTCCCGGTGGCCCTGCAGAGCCATCTGTACCGGTTATTAGCTGCCCCTCCCCTTGCCTGGCCGAGCCCGCTCCGCCCCTGACCGTACCATGCCGCTTGTAGATCGGGGGTTTCCGGTAGATGTTACTTTCTCCGGCTGCCAGACAGATCAGGGAGGGGCAGTGAAAAGGAGAGAGAAAGACAGGAGAACAGGAGACAGCAGTTGGTCAGTTGGTCCCAGAAGAGAAGTGCCTAGCAGCTTCTCCCGAGGCTTCCCGCAGCCTCTCCCCGTGGACTTCCTCTTCTAAAGGTGAGCCTCCAACCTCATCCCATCCGGTTCCGGGAAAGGCGAGGGGAAACAGGATGGATGGATTCAAACGGGGCTGAGGCAGGGGCTTGGGCTGGAATGGTGGGCATGCAGGTAAAGGCAGGCTTGTGCTCAGCAAGACTGCATGCGGGAAGGTGCCCCCGCCTCCACCCGGCGGCCATGCCTCATTCCACATGGACGTCCCCAGAACCTTTCAGCCACAGTTCCGCACTCTCGCCACCCCGACCCCCCACCCAAATAGACCAGATGAGAACTTTCTGGGGCAACTGAGAATGGTGGAGAAGAAACGGCAGGACCAACTTCTGGGAAAAAGTGAGTGGGCAGTGAAAACCTGGGCTCAGAGTTGGGAGACCGGGGCCTAGGTCTGGCTCTGCTGAACTTAGGGTAAGGCCTTTTCCAAAGACCCCCACCCTCTGCCTTCCTCTACCTTCCCATCACTTTCCCTCATGCTCACCACCTTCAGCTGCTCTGGCCTGCTGCAGGCAGTGTTTTAGGGCCTTTGGACTGGCTGTTTCCTCCACCCAGGAATATCTTTTGGGATATCTTTTGGCTTCCATGTCACCTCCTCCAAGAAGCCCTTCCTGACTACCTCACCTAGCCCAGCCTCCTTCACCCTGTCACTTTACCACAGCACCCTGTTTTTATTACATTTAGCACCCATCTCCTGAAATTATACTTTTACTTATTTGTTTACTTATTTATTAGCTCTCTTCCCACATTAGAACTTAAAACACCCTGAAGGCAGGGAGTGGACTGGTTGGAGCACAGCTGCACCTTCAGGATCCAGAACAGGGCTGGCTGTCCAGAAGGAACAACTCAAGGCTCCAGGAAGCTAAGTTCCGGTCCTGAGGTCATGAGCTTATAAGCAGCAGAATCAAGGATTCAGTCTCAAGAGTTTTGATGCAAAAGCCCATGACCTTTAGCACAGTTACTGCCACATCCCATCACAGCCCTCAGACCTAGGCACTTTGCTGGACTGCTTCCTGGTGGTCCTGATCAAGGTTGGTTCTGTCTTGTGGATGGGCTAAGGTTAGTGGACGTGTTGGAGCTGGAGGTGGGTTAGTGCAGGTGACTGGTTAGGGAGGGTCCCCAGCACCCATTTCTCCTTGGTGCCAGTGACCCCACGGAGCATGCACCCATGCCGGGAATTCCAGGCTGGCAGCCTACCTGGGATGTGAAAGTGCTTGGGAGCCTGGTAAGAGGTCGGAGTGGAGGACCTCACATCTAACTGGCTATGGTATGGAGAGCTCCGGCCACTCTCGGGCCCTGGAGCACGCAGGCAGTGGTCCCCAGAGAGAACAGAGGCACAGAGAAAACAGGCATTAATGCAGCGGCAGCAGTGACGGCAGCAGTGAGGTGGTGACGGCAGGATGGCGCGGGTGCTGTGCTCTCATGCACGCGTCTGCAGAGACAGGCTTAGCCCCATTGTCCTGCTTCACCCCCAAGTCAGGTTTTGCGGGTTGTAAGAACCAACAGCACTGAGCATCTTTGCCCCTCTTAGCGCCCCACCTGGGCTGCTCCCTCAATCGCTCTGCCCGCTTCATCCCTAACCACTGAGTGGCCCTTGGTTGAGCCAGGCTGCTCTGGTCCTCTGATCCTCCCCTCTGGATGGGACAGGACAAACGATGGAGATGCAGGCGTCTTCTCTCAGCCAGTACGGCTGGGCGGTCTGCCACTTCCCCCACCCTCAACCTCAGCAGCACACCACCCACTTCCGGTGGCATCTCAGTACCACGTACCCCTCCTCTTCCCCTGCCAGGGGCATCGGAGGGGACTTGGCGAGGCCTGGGTGCCACAGGCCTCCCGGGAACCATGCTATGATGGAGATGTCGCAGGGAGCCCTGTGCTGTCTCCACAGCTGGGGACAAAAACCACAGTGCCATCCCTTGGCTTTTCCTGTCCCTTTGGGGGCGTCCCCCTTCCTTACCGGAGCGGTAGTAGTGATGAGGTGAGCGGGAGAAGGTAGGGGACATGCCCTGTCGGCTGTAGGTGGGGGAGTCGATGTATCCTGGGCTGGAGGCCCGTCTCTGCCGGAGGTCCAGGTTCTCATAGATGTCCTGAAGGGGAGGAAGCAGGGTCATGAGCAAGACCTGCATTAGGGGGGCCTGGAGCCAAGGGTCCTGCAGGCAGCAGGGGGAGTGATGTGACTCTGGGATCCCGGGGGCTGAAGCACGGTGCTGCCCTCCTGAATACAGACACCGCCTCCCTGGGTGATGCTTCTCAGGGCCTTTGCCCACTCCCACACACCCTTGAATGGAACCCATAGGTCAAGTCCCAGGGATCCTAACTGAGGATCACAGAAGCATCAGGGAGGCCATCCCTGGAAGGAAGGCTCTCCCCGCCATCTCTGCCCTTTAAGTCTCTGCCACGTCCTCCGGATCATGCTGTTAACTCTCCCTATCTCTGCTCAGGTTGTGGGAGCACCTTTGGAGGCTGTGCAAGAGCTAAATCAGGAGTCTGCTTGGTCAGCATAAAAGGACATGATTCTAGAAAAGGTCTCCCGGAACCAGCTTAATTACCTGGGAGTAGGGAGATAAGGTTCCCAGCGACTTGGAGGTGAAGTTTGAAGGCAGCCATGGAAGGAGCGAAAGGAGAGGGGAGGGTGAGAGGGAGGGACAGAGAGTAGTTACACGGAGCAGAGAGAGGCCTGCAGCTGCCCCGCAGCCCCCCCACCCCGGATAACACTTCACCTCCCAGGATGTCAGCAGTGCTCATGGGTGGGAGGGAACCTTGAGATCATGTCTCCGAAAGGGGACAAGGGGGCTCGGGGCGCCTCAGGAAAGGATTGGTAGGGTCTTCACTGGGACCCCAGCCTCCCTACTGCAAGCTCAGAGCCAGTCCATGGCCCTTCCCTGACCCTCTACCAGTTCACGCCCCCTCTGTGGTTCAGAGGACAGGGCCCAGGGCAGGGGTCCCAAATGCAGGGCCAAGCAAGAGCCAGGCTGGTGCCATCAAGGCAGGAGTTGGTCCAGTGGGCAGGGGAGCAGGAAGCCGAGGAGGGAAGGCATCGCCCGCAGAGGGGATGTCGCTCAGCTCCAGGGCACCCAGGCCAGCTTATTTTCCAAGACAAGACAGAAGAGCAGACACCTATGTGAAATCTCCTAATGTCTAAGTGTTGATAACTAATTTACATTTTTAAAAGACACTCTGTGAGTGAAACAAAACAAATCTGGTGCTGGCCTGTGGCCCGCTCTTTGCCATCTCTGGCTTCAGGAGACTCAGCCTCTGCCAAATGCTTAGTTTCCTTTTACTGGTCCATTTCAGAGGCCAGAACTCAGAGAATCTCAGCACTGGGCTCTTAAACCAAATGAAACCTCATCCTCCTTAAGAGAGGAAGGGGTCAGCAGCAAAGTGGGGACAAGGCCAGGGCCCCTTCTAAAGTGCCAGATAATCTCAGCGCAGGGGCCTGGGATGGGTTTAGATACCTCCTGGGATGTCTGCTGTCAGGACCACTAGTAGTAGCACCACTGCCTGCCCCAGAGAATGCTTTCTCTTGTCCAGCAGCCATTTAGTTATTTCAAAACCCTTCTGATGCTGCCTTTTTATAAAAGTGTCTCTTGCCCTAAGCACAGGCCAGGGGCAACACCCAGAGAAACTACCTAACCAGGGTTTATAAACTTAACTGGCCTCTGAGCCTAACTGCAAGCTCAGAGCCAGTCCATGGCCCTTCCCTGACCCTCTACCAGTTCACGCCCCCTCTGTGGTTCAGAGGACAGGGCCCAGGGCAGGGGTCCCAAATGCAGGGCCAAGCAAGAGCCAGGCTGGTGCCATCAAGGCAGGAGTTGGTCCAGTGGGCAGGGGAGCAGGAAGCCGAGGATGGAAGGCATCGCCCGCAGAGGGGATGTCGCTCAGCTCCAGGGCACCCAGGCCAGCTTATTTTCCAAGACAAGACAGAAGAGCAGACACCTATGTGAAATCTCCTAATGTCTAAGTGTTGATAACTAATTTACATTTTTAAAAGACACTCTGTGAGTGAAACAAAACAAATCTGGTGCTGGCCTGTGGCCCGCTCTTTGCCATCTCTGGCTTCAGGAGACTCAGCCTCTGCCAAATGCTTAGTTTCCTTTTACTGGTCCATTTCAGAGGCCAGAACTCAGAGAATATCAGCACTGGTCTCTTAAACCAAATGAAACCTCATCCTCCTTAAGAGAGGAAGGGGTCAGCAGCAAAGTGGGGACAAGGCCAGGGCCCCTTCTAAAGTGCCAGATAATCTCAGCGCAGGGGCCTGGGATGGGTTTAGATACCTCCTGGGATGTCTGCTGTCAGGACCACTAGTAGTAGCACCACTGCCTGCCCCAGAGAATGCTTTCTCTTGTCCAGCAGCCATTTAGTTATTTCAAAACCCTTCTGATGCTGCCTTTTTATAAAAGTGTCTCTTGCCCTAAGCACAGGCCAGGGGCAACACCCAGAGAAACTACCTAACCAGGGTTTATAAACTTAACTGGCCTCTGAGCCTAGCTGGTGATGAGAGCTGGAGGCTGTGTATAAAACCTCTCCACTGTAAGAGGAAAAACGGCTCAAGCGATAAGTGGTCACAGGTTCCCGGCTTTAATGTTGGGGTTCTCAGGGTGTAGTGGGGATCGGAGAGAGTTGGGGAGCCCGTGTCCTGCCTACAGAGAGTGCTGCTCCCCGTCTCCAGATGGTGGAAATACTGGGTAGTGTTGCCAGTTCTGATTTTTCAAAGAAAGCCAGATTTTGGATGAAATGGCTTGATTTTTAAGTGTTGACTACAAAAGCAGTTTAAGAGAGTCTGGGGGTCACCACTGTGGAGGCCTCAGTCTCTGTGATTGAGGGGCCTGGGGACCCCATGGGCCCTCCTCTCCTCCAACAGCCCCAGAGAGAGGGCAAGACCCCGTACCTCTCCATAGCCACACCTCTCCAGCATCTCGTCGGATGTGTATCGGGAATGAGGCTCGTAGGAAATGAGGTCAGGGCGTTGTACCTCGTAGATTGACTTAACCTTGGGGAGAGCTGCCAGGTCTTTGTAATTAAGGATCTCATTATCCACTTTAGCCTGAGGAAGAGGGAAATGGACAGGAAAGAAGCAGAAAGATAAGTGGGAAAGGAGAGTGGAAATAAAAGCCAGGCACAGAGGGAATGAGCCTCTTCAGTTAGGATGAAAGACTCAGAAAATGTGAAAATAAGACAGGTCATTCATTCCTCCTGGGCTGACGGTGATTGAGCACATGCGTGTGCTGTCCTGTGCTGTCTAGGAATGACCTCTAAATATTAGGTCACTTCTGTGAAAGAAGGGTCAACAATGTTCCTATTTTTTAGAACAAAAAATTTTTAAACTTGTATGGAAACACAAGAGACCCTGAATAACCAAAACAATCCTGAGAAAGAAAAACAAAGCTGGAGGAATCAGGCTCTCTGACTTCAGACTATACTACAAAGCTACAGCAATCAAAATAGTTTGGCACTGGCACAAAAACAGAAATATATCAATGGAATAGAACAGAAATGCCAGAAATAAACCCATGTACCAATGGTCAATTAATCTACCACAAAGGAGGCAAGAATATACCATGAAGAAAAAGTCTTTTCAATGAGTGGTGTTGGGAAAACTGGACATCTACATGTAAAAGAATGAAATTTGAACATTCTCTCACATCATATATTGTTGTTGCTGTTTAGTCACTAAGTCCAACTCTTTGTGACCGCAAGGAGTGTAGCCTGCCAGGCTCCTTTATCCATGGGATTTCCTAGGCAAGGAAATCCCATGAGTTGCCATTTCCTTCTCGAGGGGGTCTTTCTGATCCAGGAATCAAAACTGTGCTTCCTGTATTGGCAGGTGGATTCTTTATCACTGAGCACCAGGGAAGCCCAACATCATACATAAACTTAAAATGGACTAAAAACCTAAATTTGAGACCAAATAATATAAAACTCTTAGAGGAAAACAGGCAAAATACTCTTTGACATAAATCATAGCAATACCTTTTGGGATCCACCTCATAGAGTAATGAAAATAAGAACAAAAATAAACAAATGGAATCTAATTAAACTTAAAATTTTTTGCATAGCAAAGGGAAATCAAACAAAACAAAAAGATAACCCGCAGAATGGGAGAAAATATTTTCAAATGAAGTGACCAATAAGGGATTGATCTCCAAAATACACAAACAGCTCATGTAGCTGAATATCAAAGAAGACAAAACAAACAATTCAATCAAAAAATCGGCAGAAAATCTAAACAGACATTTCTCCAAAGAAGACATACAGATGGCCAAGAGGCACATGAGAATGTGCCTAACATCACTAATTATGAAAAACGCAAATCAAAACTACAATGAGATGTCACTGCACACCAGTCGAGTAGCCATCACCAAAAAGTTTAAAGACAGTAATTGCTGGAGAGAGTGTGGAGAAAAGGGAACCCTCTTACAATGTTGGTGGGAATATAAATTGGTATAACCACTGCAGAGAATAGTATGGAGGTTCCTTAGAAAACTAGAAATAGAGTTACCATATGATCCAGCAATCTCATCCCTGAGCATATATCCACAGAAAACTGTACTTCAAAAAGATGCATGCAGCCCAGTGTTCACTGCAGCACTATTTACAGTAGTTAAGACATGGAAACAACCTAAGTGTCTATCAACAGAGGCATGGACACACACATAATGGAATCTTACTCAGCCGTAAGGGAGAATGAAATAACACCATTTACAGCAACATGAATGAACCTGGAGATTGTCATACAAAGTGAAATAAGTCAGACAGAGAAAGACAAATACCCTATGATATCAGGTATATGTGGAATCTAAAACAATGATACAAATGAACATAACAGACTCAGACTTCAAAAGCAAGACTTATGGTTGTCAAGGTAGAGGGGAGGGTTAGACTGCGAGTTTGGGACTGACAAATACTCGCTAGTATATATGGAATGGATAGTCCACAGGGACCTACTATATAGCACAGGGAACTCTACTCAATATTCTATAATGGGAAAAGAATCTGAAAAAGAATGGATATGTATACATGTATAGCTGAGTAACTTTGTTGTATACCTGAAACTCACACAATATTGTAAATCAACTATTCTCCAATATAACATAAAAATTAAATAAAATATTATTCCTGTTTTCCAGATGAGGAAATTATAGCCCAAAAGATCCTCTAACTTGTACCACTTAACCAGTAGGGCTGAATCCAGCCTTCCAGACCCACACAGTGAGGGCATCCTTGAAGAAGATGCTGAAGATGTAAAGACAGAATTCATCATGACAGTAAAACACCAGCGAACATGTGATGACCATTTATAATAAGCCAGACTGCATCCCCCTTCTGTGGATTAACTGAATTAATAGAACTCCAAGGTCTAATAGTACATACTAATATTATCCTCATTTTTGCATAAGGAAACAGGCACAGAGAAATCAATGAACTCGCCCAAGGTCACATAGCTAATAAGTAGCAGTACTAGAATTCAAGCCCAGGCACTCTAGCCTGGTAGCCTGCCCACTCCCTTGGCCTTTCCTGGCTTCCCGGGATGGTGAGGTCTCTGCCTTCAGAGAGCTGCTCCTCTCAATGAACTGAGGTGAGCCTCTATTGACCACCTGACTTCGCCTGAGTTCAGCCCTCTGGAAGCACAAGGATTGAGAGACAGCTCCCCTTGCTGGGGACAGCGCCCACCAGGCACTCTAGCCTGGTAGCCTGCCCACTCCATTGGCCTTTCCTGGCTTCCCGGGATGGTGAGGTCTCTGCCTTCAGAGAGCTGCTCCTCTCAATGAACTGAGGTGAGCCTCTATTGACCACCTGACTTCGCCTGAGTTCAGCCCTCTGGAAGCACAAGGATTGAGAGACAGCTCCCCTTGCTGGGGACAGCGCCCTTCTCATGGCGCCTGAAGCCAGCTCCTTTCTGTGTCTGTGTCCTCCAGCCATTCCCTGTTTCTGGTCATCTGGTTTTACTGTGGTCAATCAGAATCTGTCTCCCGAAACCGCTGGGGCTTACAAGGTCCTGAGGTGAGGTAGATTAAGAGAGAATCCAGGGAGACTGTATTATTCTATAATAGTCTCCCAGTACCTGGGGGGCCAGGCAAGTCTCAAGAGTCAAGACTGCCACAGACACAGCAACTTTCATAAAGACCTTAGGACTGTTGATATTTTAAACACGTCCCAAGGCCCTTCCACTCCTCCAACCCCATCCCATCCCACTGCTGTCTGGGCACTGTGCTGTTCACTGTCTGCTCAACTGAGACCCAAGCCCACTCCTGCTGGCCCCGCTCTGAGGTCCCACGGACTGTGTTACGGGCGCTCTGGTTGTCAGCTGGGTTTGGTCGACAGGGGGCGCCCGCAGGTCGAGACTGAGTGGAGAGAGGGGCTGTCTGTGTGTGTGTCTCCCTCGCATGGCCCTGCCCGCCCTTAGTGGACCCGGCTCCTGTCCTGGCTGCTCTGCCACAGCTCCAGCCTGGCCAGTCCTTCCCTTCTGCCACAGTAGGTCTCGTGGGTGCCCTGGCCCTACCCATGCTTCTGTACATGCTCCCTTCACACTGACACCCCTTGAACCACGCCATCTCGTTCCTGCTAGACCCTGCCCAGGTCAGATGCCCACGTCTGAACCAATCTGGGTGTGTGTGTGTGTGTGTGTGTGTGTGTGTGTGTGTGTGTAACAGAACCTTATCAGGAGACTCCACTTGCTGAATTAACTGCTGCCTTTTGTCCTGCGATGTTAGATCTTGACCTTGAGAGCTCTTGGCATCTTACAGACTTGTCAATATCAGAGGCATCCTAACATAATGAGCAGGAAGGAAGAGAACATATTGGGCTGGAGGTGATTCTAGCAGTCAGTGGGGAGTGGAGCAAAGTTTGAAAGAACCTGCTCCTCCAGGTTCACCGATCATCCTAATACCAAACCTCCATGTTTATGAACATGAAGCCAATACTTGATCTTTCTGCCTGTTATGGAATGCCCCAGAAGTGGCTGGATGGACTCTTCCTTGAATTTGGAAACCATGCTCGCAATGGTCTGACTTAAAACAAGGCTCACATGACAAGGGCAGTCACTTCCAAGAGTAACTGGAGGTGAGAGCAGGGGAATACAGGAGGGGAGACACACAGGCCCGTGCTGGGCTGCCAGGGGTGACTGGTCTCCATGGATAAGCTCCCATTTGGAGGACACCGTGGCAGGTGCCCCCAGCCCCTGCTGTTCATCTGGAGTGGGGCTGCTTCTCCCAGGGGCAACTCTATGAACTCCAGAACTCCAGGGTGAATGTCATCAGGGCTAACTTACATCACAAAAGTTCAGGGGCTCCCCGGGGGGGAGGGACGGCCAGGGGCCAGTGGCATTCTGTGTCCCCATGTGTCTGAGCTCTCATATCCTGGTAACTTTCTTCTAGAGACATGCTCATTTTTGCCTGTGACCTCCTCACCCCATGAGCCCTGAAACTAAGCTCATTAATCCTACTTTAGTCCGACCCCATTCACAGCACCAGGGGGACTATTATCTCTCTTGCTCTGGACGGGAATCTCCAATGAGGACAGCCTGTGATCAAAGTCACTTGTCTTTTGTGGGAACCATATGGCTGTACTGCCCATATTGAAGTTGCAGTCAGTGGTAACTCATGTCTCTTAAAGGAGAGGAAATAGTCTCGTCAATAGACATTATCCAGGGATCAAGGAGGAAACTGAATGTGGGTCTGGAGTGAAATAATGATGAAGCAATGGTGGGCAGGGCCTACTCAGGGCTGCTGACTGTCTCTAGAGCTTCTTATGAGGAGCAGGTTTCCTGCTCTCCTGCTCTAGACCACTTCCCTCGTTTCTGGTCTTCATGGCCCTTTGACCTGAGGAAGGCTACAGGGCTCTGGAATCCGGCCTGCTGACTGTTGGGCTCCATGGCTACTGACTGCAGTCTGCTCTGGCTCGGCCCATCCCCACCTCTGCGATCTCACTTCCATTTACCTCTCAGGCCTGAGCTAACTGTTTCTTCCTCAGGAGTCTTCGCCCAAATGATCCTAGGCTGTCAGGTCCCTCTGTTCATCTGCAGCATCAGTAGAGCACCCTGCACATTTTCTTATGAGCACTTATTAGAGTGCCATCTGATTATCTGTGGAATTATGGGGTCAGTGTTACAAGGACAGGCAGCAGGTGAATGCAGTTCACCAGAGCCCAGCACTCAGGCCAGAGGGGACACTTGAGTACCTATGTGCTTAATGAATGAATGAATACATTATACATCCAAGGGGCCTGTGAGATCATCTAACTCAACTCTTGTCCCTTCTGCCACATCCCTGCAAATGAGGGGCATCTCTGTGTTCGAAGCCTCTGGGGCTGGGAACTCAGACTCAGGCAAGTAGTTTACTCCACTCCTGGACTCCTCACATGATCAGAAAGCTGTTTATGTTTGCAGACCCTTTATAGCCATGTTTCCACATTCCTATGGCTTCTTCCTTCTGTCTGCCTCTTTACCACAACCATCATCTCCACATCAACATCCCACCCAAGACCCACTCCGAATACCACTGTGATCCTAGTTTTCTTCTTGCTCTGGTCTCAGTGAGTCCTGGGGAAGAGGCACATCACACTGGTTTCAGAGCTCCTGGTGAACTGAATACGACCCCTGTAACTATTACGAGGCTGTGGCCTCCACAAGGGCAGGGCCCACGTTGTCCATGTGCCCTGCTGCATCCTCAGGACCTAGCACAGAGCCTGGCATAGGACAGGCACACACGAGACACCAGATGGATGGAAACCTGATTGCCAGCTTCCCCTGTCTCTAGAGACTCTTTGAGGCTTCCCCGGCGACTCAGCAGTAAAGAATCTGCCTGCAACGCAGGAGACGTGGGTTCGATCCTTGGGTCAGGAAGATCCCCTGGAGGAGGGCATGGCAACCCACTCCAGTATTCTTGCCTGAAGAATTCCATGGACAGAGGAACCTGGCGGGCTACAGTCCATGGGGTTGCAAAGAGTTGGACATGACTTAGTGGTTGAGCATGCATGCCGAAACTCTTTCGTTACCAGGCCCGGGGAAGAAAAGGGGTGAGTGGCTGCAAAGTGATACATACGCAGATGACTCGGTTGGGTGACCCGATGCTAGATCCAGGAGGTGAGATGGATGTTTCAGACGTCCGCCGATGCTGTGGGAGAGAGGAAGACAGAGTGAGAGGCTGCACGTGTCGCTTGGTGGGGTGGGCGGATGGGGGTATAGTTCTTTGGGGCACATCAGTAACACTGCTAAAAGCACTCTCCAGCTCTTTCTGTACTCCCTCTTTATATTCTGCCTTTTAAATCAATGTCTGACTGTGAATAAAGTGGAAATGCACAGCACCTTATGTGGTTGGACAGAATTTGTTTTTCAGATATTTTTAACTGGCCTGTTAGATCGTAGTGAGAGTCCCTCAGTCGTGTCCGACTCTTTGCGATCCCATGGACTGGAGCCAGGCTCCTCTGTCCATGGAATTCTCCAGGCAAGAATAATCTACTCATAAAACTTGTCATTTTGGCTTATCCCTGTCAATAATGTATTTACTTTAAATGGATAAAAGTGGTTAGCATCATTCCTTAGCAGTTTGTTTATACAGAATGGAAAGGTAGGTTAAATGCTGTGTAATTTGCACAATATGCTGATTATTTTTATAGTGTACCCATTGCAAAATGACATCAACCTTAAGTGAGAAACTTAAAAAATCTTTCTCTGAACGATGACAATGATGGATTAATGGCTCCCTTAACAGAACAGCACTCTGTTCATCTTTGGTGCGTTGAAGAGAGTGGTAGCAAGCGCGGTTAAATGGAAAACAGATAGGAAATCAAGGATCACTGGTAAACTATGTGATTTTAGGCATCTCGAATTCCTGGTCTGTGAAATGAGGGGCTGGTCTTAAGGAAGCCTACATTCCCTTCAGGATCTCTCATCCTACAAGTTAAAGCCGCCAGGGAAGCCCCGAGAGCATTCTAACTTGGACTACACAGCACTGCTTCCCAAACGTAGATCAGGGACTAGTGTGTCTCTGGGGAGATGAATTTAGGAAGAAATTAGATAATACTGCGTCAGAGTGAGAGAATAAAATGTAAAATTCTATTTCAATCCTCTTGGTTAGATTAAGGAAGAAATCTTAATTTGGTCCTAATACATTTCAATAACAATTGCTAATTCTATTCCCCGACTCTCTCCCCCACTTTTTTTTTTTAGAAAAAAGAAAGTACAGGCAATATGATTAGCTAAAATTTCTAGAGTTATTCTTCCAAAATATTTCATTTTCAATGAATCTATTTTCGGGTTATCTTCTATTTATAGAAAGCAATACTGATTTTCCCCTGGGTGATACAGTCTCATTTTAAAATGTTTGATTAACTAAAAAGGAGTAAGTGATTTCAACAAAAAATAAAGTACATGAAGATATAAGTGGTACACAGATACAGCAAAAAGCATCAGGTTTGTAGACAGATAACTGAAATTCAAGAAATGCCAACAAAGAGAAGGAAATGGTGGAAGAAAAGGACAAATAGGTCTTCTTGCACCTTAAAAAGGAGAGGCCTTGGAAGAAACAGGGGAAAAAACTCACAGCTCAAAAAAATTTGCATCAATAAACCAGCTCTTTCACAAATGAAACAGATGAGATGGCAAAGGATATAGTTTAACCAGCTGGTCAGAAATTGTACACATGCATTTTTAGTTGAGATTCCAGCAGATAACTTCAATAGCATCCCAACAGCCGAGTTAATACCGGGGGACCAGGGTGTGGAGACACTTTAGAGGTCATCGAGGGCCCCCAACACACACCCCAGGGCTCCCCTCCAGCATCAAGGACTCGGGAGCTGTGCCCCACCCCTCCTGCAGTCCTAGGATCAGGAACCCAGATTCCTGGGCCTTCCTGGGACTTGTCAGCACACGGTCATCCAGAGGGACACGGGACCTCAGCTGCTCCAGTGTGTGTCTGGGGAGGCTGGCTGTGCTCCTGCCTGGCGGCATGACTGCAGGACAGTCACCACCCTCTTTAAGGCCCTGCTTTTCTCACCAGCGAGGCAAAGATACAATTCCTTACCCATCTGCCCTGCGTTGTTAAATCAGAGGGTGGTTGTGAAGATGCTTTGCAAGCTGTCAACTTCTGTGACAATTTTAACCAGTATTATTAATGAATGATCTTAGGCTGGGGAAAAACCATGGCATCTGTGCCTCATAGAAGCCACCATCCTGGCAAATAATGAGAAGGGTGTAGCCTCACTCCAGAAACATGAAAAGTCACGTTCATACAGTGCTTTACAGTTTTCAAAGTGCTCTCACATCCAGTGTCTTTTGAAATCCCTTCAAAACCTCCATGAGGTGGATGTCACTGTTAAGGAAATCCAAGGATACAGGCACACGTCTGAAAGTGTGAGCACTAAGGAGTGATTCTCTAGTAAAGCACAGTGCCTCCAACCTGGGACTGGAAGTAGCTGGTTTGGTATCATCACCACCTTTGCTTACCTTTAACTTCTTCTCTGCCCGGGCTGCCTGCTTGCAGATGGGGTGCCAGACCTCAGAACCTAAGGGACCAGGAAAATGATAAAAATTTCAGACCTTTCACACCCACCAGAACCCTGGGCGTCTTCCCATGCCCACCCCCATTTACTCCCTTGTCAGCACACGTGCCCGACAGCAGCCAGGAGGACCCCTTGGTTTTCCTGGATCTCTGCTGCAACATCGATCCAGCCACCCACACACTCTCTCTGCCTGCCACACCCTGCCCTTCCCCAAGGTCCACATCTCATATGACATCCTGCGAACCTTCTTACCTGCCAGCTGCGAGTGACTTGGCTCTCCTTTGTGATCCATCATTCTTTGTATCATTCCCAGCACATATGGCCTTAAAACATAGTAGCTTGTGGATTTATCACCCCAACTAAATTAAGAGATCCCTGTGGGTGGGAGCTGAGCTTACTTCATTACTGGGTCTTCCACAGCATCCAGCACAGGGCTTTGCTCTCAGCAGAGGCTCCGTACATGTTTGTGGGGTGATGAGATGAGTGGACGGTTGGCAGTGAGGGACACAGAGCAGGTGGTCAATAAATATTTGTCGAATGAATGCATGCAGTGGAGGTGAAATAAAGGGACGGTCTGTGTGAACTCCAGCCCTCCTCACTCTTTAGAGATTTAGGACAGTCTACCAGAGCTATCACGTTCAAGGGGAGGAGGTGTCATGCTGCATATTCTGCTTCAGAGCACAGTCTTGACCTGCTAAATCCTAAGAGACTCCAGACTCCTCAAATTTAGTGTATTCGGCTGCCCATGTTTTCTTGTGTAGGGGGGGTCCAGTTGGCCAGGCCCCAACTGGAGAGGCCTATTTGGAAAGGCATGAGCAACAGGTGGCCAGTCACGTGTTGAGAAGAAGCCCCAAATATCACACATTCCCCAAAGAAAGGACAGGTGTCCTGGATTAGAGGGGAAAATAGGAACATGTTATCCCTCTGGTGCCACTGTTCCTGTAATCAACCCTAAAAGGAAAGGAGCCAGCAAATGGCTAGATTCCTGAGCTCCCAGATGGCATTTGTTTGTCTGACTTTGTTTTTAGAATATCTTTTCCATTACAGTTTGTTGCCTGGAACCACTAAGGCTGGATACTGAGTAAGTGACAGCGGGTAGTGTAAGGTTGAACAGTGAGCTGGAGACAGGACGGGCCCAAAGTAAGCAGCCCTTCTGGGCTCTGCTCCATCCCAGTTTCTTCATCTGAGTAACAGTGAGGTGGGCTTTGGAGGGTCTGAGACGTTGTTTTCATCTCAGAAATTTGAATTCCAGGGCCAGTTTTGTCACTTGAGGGATAGGGATCTGATTCTTGTTTGCTGATGTCTGCAGGTGTTTGCTTGCTGATGCTCCCTGATTGCTTCCCCATGAGTGTATTTCCTCCCAATGTAAGGTGCAATGGCTCTCGGAGCCCAGTAGGGGGACTCAGGGTCTGCAGCTGGAGCCAGAGATCGTAGGGTGTGTCCACTACCAAGTGTTGGGTGGGGACCCCAGCTCTGGGAATAATTAGAGAGAGCATTTCCGGGTCCTCTCTGAGTTGCCTCTGAATCCACCAGGGGTTGTTTATTGCAGTGGCTCTGGCAGGAAGCACATGTTACAGGTCACTGTAGGAAATGGATGAGGGAGACACAGATGTCTCAGAAGGTCGTGAGCTTAAGTGAGAGAGGCACAGGGAAGGTAAAGGGTCAGAGACTCATATGACATCCTGCGAACCTTCTTACCTGCCAGCTGCGAGTGACTTGGCTCTCCTTTGTGATCCATCATTCTTTGTATCATTCCCAGCACATATGGCCTTAAAACATAGTAGCTTGTGGATTTATCACCCCAACTAAATTAAGAGATCCCTGTGGGTGGGAGCTGAGCTTACTTCATTACTGGGTCTTCCACAGCATCCAGCACAGGGCTTTGCTCTCAGCAGAGGCTCCGTACATGTTTGTGGGGTGATGAGATGAGTGGACGGTTGGCAGTGAGGGACACAGAGCAGGTGGTCAATAAATATTTGTCGAATGAATGCATGCAGTGGAGGTGAAATAAAGGGACGGTCTGTGTGAACTCCAGCCCTCCTCACTCTTTAGAGATTTAGGACAGTCTACCAGAGCTATCACGTTCAAGGGGAGGAGGTGTCATGCTGCATATTCTGCTTCAGAGCACAGTCTTGACCTGCTAAATCCTAAGAGACTCCAGACTCCTCAAATTTAGTGTATTCGGCTGCCCATGTTTTCTTGTGTAGGGGGGGTCCAGTTGGCCAGGCCCCAACTGGAGAGGCCTATTTGGAAAGGCATGAGCAACAGGTGGCCAGTCACGTGTTGAGAAGAAGCCCCAAATATCACACATTCCCCAAAGAAAGGACAGGTGTCCTGGATTAGAGGGGAAAATAGGAACATGTTATCCCTCTGGTGCCACTGTTCCTGTAATCAACCCTAAAAGGAAAGGAGCCAGCAAATGGCTAGATTCCTGAGCTCCCAGATGGCATTTGTTTGTCTGACTTTGTTTTTAGAATATCTTTTCCATTACAGTTTGTTGCCTGGAACCACTAAGGCTGGATACTGAGTAAGTGACAGCGGGTAGTGTAAGGTTGAACAGTGAGCTGGAGACAGGACGGGCCCAAAGTAAGCAGCCCTTCTGGGCTCTGCTCCATCCCAGTTTCTTCATCTGAGTAACAGTGAGGTGGGCTTTGGAGGGTCTGAGACGTTGTTTTCATCTCAGAAATTTGAATTCCAGGGCCAGTTTTGTCACTTGAGGGATAGGGATCTGATTCTTGTTTGCTGATGTCTGCAGGTGTTTGCTTGCTGATGCTCCCTGATTGCTTCCACATGAGTGTATTTCCTCCCAATGTAAGGTGCAATGGCTCTCGGAGCCCAGTAGGGGGACTCAGGGTCTGCAGCTGGAGCCAGAGATCGTAGGGTGTGTCCACTACCAAGTGTTGGGTGGGGACCCCAGCTCTGGGAATAATTAGAGAGAGCATTTCCGGGTCCTCTCTGAGTTGCCTCTGAATCCACCAGGGGTTGTTTATTGCAGTGGCTCTGGCAGGAAGCACATGTTACAGGTCACTGTAGGAAATGGATGAGGGAGACACAGATGTCTCAGAAGGTCGTGAGCTTAAGTGAGAGAGGCACAGGGAAGGTAAAGGGTCAGAGTGAGGTTCTCAGGGCAGGGAAATAAAGCGCAGAGGGAGCAGGTCAGACTAGATGATCTCTCCAGGCCACGGGTGTATCTGTTTTGAAATAAGGCTGAGCCACAAATGGCTTCAGCATTCTGCATACAGGAAAGCAGATTTTCAGAAGCAGTATGTGTGTGTGAAGGGGGAGGGAGGGATCAAATGGAAGAAATAAACTGTAATTAGTTATAATCTTTAAAAATTTAAAAAAAATTTTGAAATTTTTAAAAATCAGAAGTTTGGGTTTTGGCAGTATATCATTTAAGTTAAAGAGGGAAAGGGGACTTCCCTAGTGGTCCAGGGAGACTCTGTGCTCCCAATGTAGGGGGCCTGGGTTTGATCCCTGGTCAGAGAACTACTAAATACCACATGCTGCAACCCAGACTGGGCACAGCCAAACAAACAAATTATATATATATATATACACACACACATATATAAAAGGAAGGGATTTGTTGGAGGTTAGTGACAAACTTAGATAAATGAAGGTAAGAAAAGATGATTTGTTCATAAAGACCTCTGTGACATTATGGTCTGCATATGTCATCAGTCAATAGCTCTCTTCCTAAAATAGTACCTGATGCAGAAATGAATGAATGACTGGTTGGAGCCTATCTTTGTATTTTTTTTAAAAAGAGAGACAGACTGATATGTGCCCACAGGATAATGGTGACCAGAATAGTGAGGGGACCCAAAATTAGGCCTTAAAGCAGGGTCTTCTCCATGGAGAAGAGCAGATGTAACAGAAGGGAGGAAAGGACTTTTGAATATTTCAGTGCCTCTCCATGGGAAGACAGATTAACTTGCTCAATATGTCTTACAAAGAGAACAAGGATTAAGGGCAGGGGAGTGGGAAGTACAAGGTACTGGATATAAAACAGGATCAAGGTTGTATTGTACAACACAGGGAATATAGACAATATTTCATAACAACCGTAAATGGAAAATAGTCTTTCAAAATTGCATGAAAATGAATTAAAAGACTTTCAAAAATTGAAAAAAAAGTATTAAGTGCAGAAGTTTCAGGGAAGGAAAATTTAACATTTAAAGACTGAATGGGTTCATTCAGACAGTGAGCCTTCTGTCCCTGGCAGTATTCAAGCACACATTGGGTATATAATTGCTCAGCAGGGACATTTTTGAGGAGACACATCATATGGTAGTTACCCTAACAGATGTTTATTATCTCTCCAGACCCTTAGAGATGCTGCTTCCAACTTAACAGGCACCTCTGTACAGAAAAAAAATAATTTGCCCCATTCAACAATCTGGAACAAGAATGTAGGTTCTGCAAGGAGCAGGATTCACATTTGTTTTATCTGCGGACAAACCTGAAGGGACCACAGATTCTTAACAAATACTGAATGAGTGAAGAAACAAAAGAAACATGATACTCTATTTTAGGCCAGTTGAATTCTCTGAACTGGACTCAAGAGATTTGGACAACTGGTATAGTCTAAACTCTGATATGACAGCTACAATTCCAGATTGAGTGTCTGTAAGATTTATGAGATTAGGGCTTGTTAAAATGGGACCTGTGGACCACCTGTCCAGCAGCCTGGTGAAATGCAGAATCCCGACCACCCCCGCCCCGCTCCCAAGAATTCCTGAAGTCAATTTTCTAGAGGGGGGCCTGGGAATCTGCAGTTTTAACAAGCTCCCTAGGTGATTTTTGTTTCTCAATTGGAGAAAGTGAAGTGAAAGTGAAAGTGAAGTCGCTCAATCGTGTCCAACTCTTTGCGACCCCATGGCCTGTAACCTGCACCAGGCTCCTCCATCCATGGGATTCTCCAGGCAAAATTCTCCAGGCAACAATACTGGAGTGGGTTGCCATTTCCTTCTCCAGGGGATCTTCCCAACCCAGGGATC